CCTCCCCCACAAAAGGTCGAAATTTTCAAAAATATATTTTATGCACAGATAGAGAAACGATAATCCGATTTTGCTTCAACTTTGCAAATCCTAATATTTGCATCAGTGCTAGGTTAGGTGCGAAAATGGACAATATAGGTACACTCCATCAAGTACCTCCCCCAAAAGGGTCCACATTTTGAATAATTACAACTCTTATAAAATGTGACATAAAAGTGCGATTGTCTTCAAATTTCACACATCTGAATATTTTTATTAACCCATGGTTTGGCTTCAAGATGGAATATATCGGTCCACTCCTTCTGATACCTCCCCCACAAAAGGACGAAATTTAAAAAAAATATATTTTCTGCACAACTATTTTCCAAGTTTGCAAATCCTAATATTTTCGTCAGTGCTAGGTCAAGTGCGAAAATGAACAATATCGGTCCACTCCATCAAGTACCTCCCCCACAAAGGGTCAAAATTTTGAATAATTACAACTCTTATAAAATGTGATGTAAGATTCTGATAGTCTTCAAATTCATTTCGCACATTCCAACAATTTTATTAACCCAAATTCTAGTGTTAAGGTCGAATACATCGGTCTACACCTTCTGGTACCTCCCCCACAAAAGGTTGAAATTTTTAACATTTTCTAAAAATTATCACATCTCAAAGTGAAGGAAGTAACCAAAATAGTCCAAGGCTGGCACGTCGCAATATTTATATCATATTATTATTCCGGTCCAATACGAAAAGGACAATATTGGCCCATTCCTTCGGAGCCTACTCCAAAATTTGAATAACCTAAGAGAAGTCAATATATATTTAAATAATCGAACCTTGGCTGAGGTATACATCTGTCGGCAAAACCGACTGAACTTTTTTTTTGGTACAAATCTCACAGGGGAATACAATTCTTTACTTCTTATCCGGATATAAGTGGTTCTACAATTAATTATACCCACCACCATTCTATGGAGGCTATATTAACTTTGTCATTCCGTTTGTAACTCCTCGAAATTCTCTTTTAAAATTGATTCCGTTGTCAGGCCCTCGACTGTAACTCTGATGGATTGAAACAAAAACTTCCTCCATTTTTTTTCAATGCGTAAAAAAAGCGTATCCTACAATTGAAATACACATGCAGACGTACAGAACCTACATACATACATATGTACATTATGGACAAAAAGCAAACAGCTCAATGCAAATATTCCCACCATTCATGGAGCAACACATGGATGCAACACTGCAGAGAGGAAGATTATTCCAAAATAACACGAGCTGAATTTTTTTTTTTGTCCTTTGTCCTTTGCCTTCCACTTCTTCTTCTGCCGGCCAATGAATACAACGCAACGACAATGGCACAAAATATGCTATGTAAATAAATTTAATGAATATGTACATTACGTACATACAAATGTATATATGTATTTTTGTATGTGGGTGTGTATGTACAACAGTCCCTTCGGAATAATATTTGCCGCACGCCGGCAAGGTGTTCATGCGAAAAAACAATGCAATTATCGCGCAATATTCATATTGTTGTATTTACAGGTGAGCAGCAATTTTTTTTATTAACTTGGCCATTATGGCAACAATGCCGAAAAACAAAAAATATTAAAATATAATTTTTAATATCACACCAATGGCGAACTGGCGGAATTGCCTGAATGAATGATGAATATTAATGAATATATAAATATTAAATATTATTAATTGATTTTCATATTAAAAATGAAAATCGAAAAATTGTTCGACATATTGTGAAATTGCAACAAGTAAGAGGCAACAATAACAGCAACAATTAGAAAGTAAAATGAGATTAAAATCTGAACAAGGATTATGCAAAATTTCTGACCAAAACTACGGTCTCGAACAAACATGGTGGATTTTTAAGGACATGCTGGTGGGGTTTTTTAAGAAAGATTTAATTTTCATATTTTCTACTGATCAAAAATCATGGATTTAAAAAAATCCTGGACAGCAAACGGCGGTTTATTTAAGAAGATTATTTTAAGGACCTCCTGGCCGAAAATTATATTTTTTAGGAATATTTTTCTAAGACTTCCTGACCAAAGTTGTTGGATTTTAAAGAATATTTTTAAAAGAGTTCCTCACAGATAGCCAGGATTTAAAAAAATCTTCAAATACTTTCTAACGAGAAATCGTGAATTTTTAAGACTATTTATTCAGAGACCTTTCGGGCATGGATCAGATTTTGTTAAAGAATATTTTTTAAAGGATCTCTTGGTCAAAAATCCTATATATTTTTTTTTCAAATGTCGAATGAACTCAGATCATTTATTTTTTAGAATATTTTTTTCAGGGATCTCCTAATGAAAAACGTGACTGTTATTACGAATATTTATAAAATTTTTCAGGACAGAAGTCATCGATTTTTTAAAGAATATTTTTTTAAATGTTTTCCTAGACAAAAATCGTGAGTTTTTTAACATTATTTTTAAAGGACCTTCTGACCGAATATCGTTGGCTTTAAAATAATATTTCTGAAAGTACCCCCAGACCGAAAATCGTAGATTTTTCGAAGTATTTTAAAATGTTTTCCTGGACACAAATATTTGTTAAAGGAACTCCTGATCGAAAATCGTGAAATGTTTTTTCAGCTATCGCCTGAATATAATCATAGATTTTTCAAGATATTTTTTTCAAGCACCTCCTGATTGAAAACCATCAAACTTTTTTATGACTATTTCTCAATGACCGAAAATTTCGGATTTTTCCGAATGTTTTTTTAAAGGTGCTCCTGATTGAAAATCGCAAGAATTTGCAAGAATATTTTGCCAAGTACCCGCTGACAGAAAGCGATTAATTTTTAAAAATATTTTCTCCAGACCAAAAATCATGGATTAAAAAAAAATTGGACGACAATCGGCAATTTGTTTGAGTATATTATTTTCTAAAACCTCTTGACAAAAAATGGATTTTTAAGAATATTTTTAAAGGTGTCCTCACAGAAAACTATGGATTAAAAAAATCTACAAATACCTACCTACGAAAAATCGGGATTTTTTAAGACTATTTCATCAAGGACATTTCGGGCACGCTTTTTTAAGAATATTTCTCTAGGCAACTCTCGGGCGAAAATCGTGATTTTTTTAATAATATTTGCCTAGAAACACCTTACCAACTGTTGTCTGTTGGCCAACTGCTGGCCTGTTGGCCGAGTTTTTTCAGGAATATTTTTCAAGGACCCCCTCACAGAAAATCTTAATTTTTAAGCATATTTTTTAAAGGTCCCCCTTATCAAAAATCTAGTTTGTTTGAGAAATTTTTTTTTCAAGGATATCCCGACCGAAATCCATGGCCTTAAGAATTTTTTTCGTGGACCAACCAACCTAAAATCGTAGATTTTTAAGAATATTTTTAAAGGACTTCCTGACCCTGGATTTTTTAAAAAATATTTGTCACGGGGCGAAATTCGCGGATTTATTATGATAATTTTTGGAAGCTCCTCTTTGCCGAAAATCGTTGTCGTTTAAGATACATTTTTTTGGGACCTTCTGAATCAAAATCGCAGTCGTAAAGAATATTTTAAGGATCTTCAAACCGAATCTTGTTTTTTAATTAAAATTTTTTACAAAGTCTTCCTGATCAAAAACTGATTTTTTAAAAATCGTATGACCGAATTTAGCTTTTTTTAAATCTCTTCAACGAAAATCGTCCGCTTTTTAGAAAACTAGGGGCTATTTTTAAAAACAAGAACAGTGTGACCAAATTTGGTTTTTTTCAGAATATTTTTTAAAATATCTTCTGACCGAAAATCGTATGTTTTTTAAAAAACAAGGGACTTAAAAAATTCTAAGGATCTCCCGATAATCATGAATTTTTAAAGAACACTTTCCAAAAATCTTTCTTGGAATATTTTGTCAAGGACATACTAGCTGAATATCAGGGAGTTTTTCGCATTTTGGAATAGAAAACCCGCACTTAGGCCGATGCACTCAAACACTGTTTGTAGCGGTTTTTGGTTCAGATTCATACTTTGGACAGTTTTATTCGAAAAAAAAAAAATTTCAAATATCTCCTACCGAAAAATCGAAGATTTTTTACAATATTTTTCCTAAGGACCTCTCGACTGAAATCTAAGATTTTTTGCTGACGAAAATACATTTAAAAAAAAAATTAAGAGTGGAATATTGTCAAAAATTGGATACAACAGAACAGCGTTTCGTACTACACAGCCGGAGCGACAGTAGATAATCGGGGATTTAAGATTTTTTTAGTGAAGGTTTTTTGAAGGAGGATTTCGATTTTTCGATTTGAGGATTTCGATTTTTTTAATTTGTTTCACATTTTGGGGTAAAAAATGCATTATTTAAAGACATTTAGAACTATAATCCTGAATTTTTAAAAGACTAGTCTTGAATTTGTTTTTAATGATAATTCTAAGGCCGAAAATAGAGACATTTTTGAGAGTGTATTGAGGGACTTCGATTTTTTTAAATTTCGTGGTCAAAAATATTTTATTTTAGGACATAAAAAAGGAAAATCGTGTACCGTGAAAAAAAATTTATGCCAAGAAGAACACAGCCCCTATATTAACTATTGTACTTCCGAAGATTTTTCTAAAATATTAAAGAAATATTTTTTTAATGCCTTTGCAGACATACTGAAGCTTATCCTCACTTAATTTTCAATACGGGCCTGTTTCTGTATGACTATCCGAATTTGGATACGGAAAAAAAATCATGTTTTTAAATTGAAATCAAGAAGTTGTACAAAACATTTCTAAAATGGTGTGTTTTTTCGCAGTCGTCACACAAAAATATATTATATTTATTTAGTTTCATTTAAATAAATATCTCTCTCCATTAGACAGGTGCTTATTCCACAAAATAAGCTTTATAAAGAAAAAGATCCGCTTAATTTTGATCAACCCAAATGTTAATTTATATCTTAGAAGCAGCCTATATTTAATTCTAACTCGAAAATATTTCCTTTAAAAGTTTATTTATTAGTTATTAAAATATTATTAACGAAAACAAAAATAATTTGTTCGAAATTAACAAATTTTAATCCTTTCCCACAGCAGATTTTCATTTAAATTTTAAATTGATAATTTGTTTTTATCTCTCACTGAATTATATCAAATCATTAAATTAATCGCTCAATCCTTCTTCTTCTCACTCTCCTTCTTGTGGCCAGACTTTTTGTGCTCCTTTTTCTTGTCCTCGCTGCCCCATTTCTTGTGTTCCTCCCCGCCTTCCTTGTGTTTCTTTTCTTTCTTGTATTTCTTATGATCCTCATCGTGGTGGCCTTTCTTATAGTGTTTCTTGTGACCCTTGTGATGTTTCTTTTTACCCTCCTCGTGTTCCTCACCCTTCTTCTGCTCCTTTTCCTCTTCCTCATGATGTTTGTGTTCTTTGCCATATTTCTTGTGGTGTCCACCCTTATCTTCATCATCATAGAATTTCTTATCCTTTACATACTCATCTTTGTGGAACTTTTTGTGATGTTCCAACTCCTTGTGACCCTTTTTGTGTTTCTTTTTCTCGTGATGTTTACCGGCTTCCTTGTGTTTGCCATGCTTGTGTTCCTCACCATATTCCTCTTCTTCGCCGTATTCGTGTTTCTTCTTGCCACCCTCATGGTCATAATGATGTTTGTGATCCTCCTCTTCGTGATGTTTCTTTTCGTCCTCATCCCATTCGTCGTGTTCCTTGTGGCCTTTATCGGATTTATGTTTCTTTTCGTGGCTCTCCTCTTCTTTGTACTTCTTGCCTTCCTCCTCTTTTTCCTCTGAGGATTCCTCCTTGTGTTTCTTGGCCATTACCACCATCACATCGAGTGTGAGTAGGGCCAGGACGAGTAAAACCTTTAGCTGATGGTGTCCCATGTTGGAATTGGTTTCAACTAGCAACAATTGTTGGCACAAATGTTAATTTATATGGCCAAAGCTTGAAGTAATTTTCAATTACAACTGGGTGGTGGTGTCGGCTATAGTAAACCACAAGGTAGTTTTTTGTTGTTGTTATTGTGGAATGCCAGAAATTGGGATTATGAAAGTGTCAGTGGAGCGAATGTTATGCTTGATGGAAGGTTTGATTAGGTTTTTGCCGTTATTGATATGGCGTTCATTGACTTTGGAATGCTTCATTTGCATGGGGGATTGGGGCTATGAGATGTTTACCCAATCGACCAATGGAAAATTTTGAGCCCTCTGAAAGAAGACCACTTCCAATTCCTCTGTCTAAGGACGACCTCCTGGAAATGTTCCTTCTATTACAAACTGTATTAAAAGCATTCAATGTTTTCGATCTAAGGGACATTTTAATGATCGATAACAACCGATTACCAAAACTTCATTGCATTAATGGCATTAATATATCTAAAATACCGCTTCAATGTCCTCATCTTTGTTGGTTCCATTTTTTGGACAAACGAATGCTCTGTTCCAGTACCTTGCCTTGGCACATGTTCATTCCGGGTACCTGTCGGCCATTACGATCAAGGTGAAAGAGAATTAAAACAACTCTCCTTTTCTCTGCAACGTTGAATTTCTTGGTATTTTTTTTTTTTTTTTACGGCATAACTTTGTTGTTTTATGGTAAAGTTTATTTTTAATTAAAGTTTATCTATTTTCAGTATCCGAAAGCACAAAAAAATAATAAAAATCCAATTTAAAACAAAACAAGTCAACAGCAAATCAAAAGAAAGCGTTTTTATTATCGATAACAATCGATTACTCACACATCATTGCAATAACAGCGTTTTCTCTCTGAACTGTGGTTAGCATCACCGTGCCATCAGCTCCCTTTTCTCTGAAACGTCAAATTTGTTGGTATTGTTTTTTTGCGACAAAACTTGATTGGATTTTGCTAAATTTTCTCATTTTAATTTATAGCCCAGAAATACAAAAGAAATAACTAAAACAAGATGCCACACATGGTAACAATGGGTAATGGCCAAAGCCAATCAATTCAAGAAATGTTGGGATGCATTGAAAGGTATGGGTAGAGAGTGAGTAAGAAAACTGCACACGCGAACAGCACAAAAACAAAACATAACCTTAAAACTAATTGCTTTCTTTCCCCATTCCACAGATACAATCCCGATCATTTGAAGACATTGGAAGCCTACGTTGAAGAGCAAGCCAAAAACAACACTTATGATTTGGAAGCTAATTTGGCTGTCTTGAAATTGTATCAATTCAACCCGCACATGTTGAATCATGAAATTACCTATACCATCCTCTTGAAATGTCTGACCAACCTGCCACACACCGATTTTGTTATGGCCAAATGTTTGCTGTTGCCACAACAAATGAAAGATGAAACGGTTCAGACCATCATTGAATTGGCTGATATTTTGGAACGTACCGATTTTGTTTTGTTCTGGCAGAGAGCCGATGTCAACAAGAGTCTATTCCGTCACATTACCGGTTTCCATGATTCCATTCGCAAGTTTGTTTGCCATGTCATTGGTATCACTTTCCAGACCATCAGACGGGATTTGTTGAAGGAACTTTTGGGCGGTATTGAAGGTGAGTTGGATCGCTAATTTGGATTTGATTTCTTTGTGAGTAGATGCTGAGGTTTGAATGAGAACCTGTGGAACCTAAAAAAGATTAAGGACGAAATATGGGAAGAGAGTCAGCCTCGATGACAATAGTTAAGTGCTAGTGATGTTAGATTGACGTTCCAAATGATCTGTGCTATTACAGAAATGGCATCCCTTCGTAAAAATATAGTTTCAATTCCGAGCCGAAAGGTCGAAAAGGCGACTCGTATAGGTGGTAAAGAAAAACGTGGATACCGTTAAGCCACCAGGGTGATCACCCCCCCCCCCCCTTGTTTTGATCTTAAATAAGGAAAAGAATACGTAGAGTCCTTAGGATAATGCAAAAAGTCTATTGGATTGGAATACTAACAAGGTGGAGGAAGAGGAACTTTTGGAAACGAGGCCGAGATTTTTAAAGAATTCGAAAATACATTCCAAACTGTTTTCTTTCGATCGATGTAAAGAGCAGTATATGTACGGAGCAATTAATTATGGCAGGAAGTTTATGAAACCTAACAGAATGGCATAATCTGAAGTAGGGGAAATTGATCTACGATTGTAAAGAACTTCAAAAGACTCCAGTCTCAACATATATTCAACAATGCGATACAAAACATCTACCACAGTCTTATCGATATGGCAAAGATTCCGCTCGCTTTGTCAGGCTATTACACATCAGATCCATTTCCGCAGCGAGCTTATTATCCGGAATGGCCCGAGTTATTCTCTGCTAAAGAGCTACTAAACAACAATAACAATTGATCAATATTTTCGTGAATATGTCGAAATAAAATCATCCTCATGACTCCAATCGACCCACCTCCATTGAGAGTAAAAGATATTCCAACACCACACAAGATGTCGACACAATAACTGGGGTGTTATAGACATAATAATCGAAGTAATCAACAAACTTCCCCCAGGCACTTTAGAAAATACGTTTATAGTCCTAAGAAGAGTCTTTATCTATCTCAGATTGTCTTCCAACAGTACTGGCGTGAACCCAGATAAGACAGAATAGTATTTACTATACTTGGAGATCACATGCCTTCCATCGAGTAGCCTCCTACTGAGTTCAAGTGGACAACAAAACGTAAAACCCCTAACCAGCTTAAAGGACTGCCCTGAACGATATTCAGCACCTCCTTAACTGTCCCAGACCTACCCATCTAATCCCAAGTTCATGTCAGTGGACTGCACCGATGTACATCCTCAATATTTCGCCTGGACACCTAAACAGCTTTTAGGACTGGCCTAAACGATATTCTGCACCTCCTTAACTGTCTGCCAGACCTACTCATTTAATCCCAAGTTCGTGGCAATTGACTGCACCGCCGTACCTCCTCAATTTTCCGCTTGAACACCTAACCACCTTTTACCAGCATCCCTTGCAGCTGAAGAACGTCGGCTGCCTAGGCAAAACACGGTAGTTTTGGCCCAACTACGTTCGTATTGGTCACGAATTGACGAAGATGTGCGGAACGCCTGGCCAGCGTGCGATACAGGCCCGCACAATACGCTGCATATGTTTTATTGTTCAGCCAAGCCTATCCAACTCCGTCCAGGGGATCTCTTGCTACACCTCATAAAGGTAGCAGAATTCCTGAACGATATTCTGTACCTCTTTAACTGTCTGCCAGACCAACTCATTCAATCCCTAGTTCATTGCACTGGATTGTGCCTCCAAAATTTTCCGCCAGACCTACTCATCTAATCCTAAGCTCATACGGACATTTCTCAGACAGTTCTTTCCAAGAAACTAAATTTTAAAGACTCAGGACAGATATTTATCAAATTATTATAAATAAATATAAATAAATAAATTTCCTTTCATTTTTCCCTCACTTTCTTTCAGATTCCACTTTGGACAAATGGGTGAAACAAAATGGCTGGAAGAATCAAGGCAATTTGGTGATGATTGCCTCGCAAGATGAGAAAATCAAGACCAAGAATATTACAGAGAAAATTGAATTCGATAATTTGGGTGGTTTGATGGCCCAATGTTTGTAAGGCAGAAAATTTTGAATGCATAAAACAGCAAGCCACAAAAAAAAATACAACCCATATTCCACAAAAAACCAAACACTTTGTATTTCTGTAAACAAGAAGAGTAAAATAAAACAGGAACTTTATGTGTGACATTTTTTTAAATAGAAAAAATTGTATTGTTTGTTGTTGTTGATGTTGACTACAAATATATGGTGGTATATATGACTAACTTAACCTGGAGTGGGGAGGTGTGGGCAAAAACAATCTTAACTAACAGCAGCCGAAAAAAGAAACAAATGAATTCATTGAGCTACATTAATAATAAAGAAAACAGAAGGCGAAAAAAACATAAATTAAGAAGCGAGTATCAAAAACAAGTAGATGGGGAGGAAGGAGGGACACCTAAATACTGCCAATTGTATTTCAAAAATTGGCTTTTCTTATAACATACAAAAAAAGAACGAAAGGAAAACAAAACATTTAAATATTCTTACTTCTTATTCGATATACAAAACAAAAAAAATAGAGCGGTTATTAAGATTGTTTTTTAAATTTCTTAAGAATAGGGAATATCTTATCAAATGCCTCATAGATTTCATTGCGAACCTTGGCTCCCGTCAGCACTACTTTACCCGAAACGAATATCAGTAATACAATACGTGGACGAACCATACGATAAATAAGACCGGGGAATAGCTCCGGTTCGTAAGAACTGAAATTACAATGGGTAAGCACCAGGCCCTCCAGACGTATGGGGAATTTCACATCACAGGAACCAACCATGTTTTGGATTTTGAAATCAAGGAATTTTGCCTGAAAGAAAACATCAAACAATTACTAATCCGAAATTTCGAAATTACTATCTATCACCGCTCACCGGAAATCCAAGTTTTTGTATAATGCGGGCATATTTACGTGCCGCCAGCCTAGAGTCATCTTCACTCTTGGCTCCTGTACACACCATTTTGCCCGAGGAGAAAATTAATGCCGTTGTACGCGGTTCACGTATACGCATAATAACCGCCGCAAAACGTTTGGGATTGTATTCAGCATTACGGGCATGTAAAGCAATTTTCTTCAAGTCCAGTTTACAATACAGATTAACAGTGGATACGATATTTCTGTAAGGAAATAGAACAAAACCAAGCTAGAAAAAATGTCCTCCCAAAATTCATATAAAGTACTTACTGTAATTGTGGTACAATACCCGGATCTGCCGAACCCGGTGTCATTGGCGTCATGGGAGTGGCTGGACCCATGGTCTGGTGAATGTTGCTTAAATTATCTGTTGTCCTATCACTCATAGGTACCATGGGTGACATGAGGCTTTGTGGTGTCTGAGGTTGCATTAGGGATTGGGGTGCCGTCGTCGCTGGCGAGTTGCCGCTACCGTTTGTTGACATTGAACTTTGGTATGATGGTTGATAGGACTGCATCTGTTTGTGCGGCACCGGCAGCGTTGGATGTTGTCCCATGGTATTATTTGTATTGCTATTTGTTCCATCTACCCCACTGCCACTGTTTGACACAGCCGGCGCCGGTGAGGCACCCATAATTGCATTTAAGTCATAGTGATGATTATTTGGATTCATATCATGCTGCTGTTGCGCCGTCAAGGCAGCTGGGGGATGATACACAGGATTGGCGGCCACAATCTGTTGATCGGGATCCAATTGATGTAGCGGTGTGCCACCAATGCTGGGTATTGAGAACCCTGGACTTAGCATTTGATCCATTCTGTCGGATATCACAAATCGCTTCAATCGAGGTGGTAGATAAATTGCTTCAGTAGGAGCTGGATCAGTTTTGATTGATAATGCTGCGAAGTAATGTTAGCGCTTTTCAGGCGCGTTCTTTTTTGCGGTGTAGTTTATCCCTATAAATCCAGGTTGGTTTCTTCCTTCAGCGATAGGTGAAAATCAAATTTCTGCAATTGATCTTGAAAACTAATGGCGGGTGGATAATTTTCTTTCCAGAAAATCCAACAATATTGGCGTAGATGTCGAAACAGACACAGAAAAGTAATCAATCTATTCAACAACTGCAAATGTTTTCACAAATTTGATAAATTTAGTGTTGCCATATCTGCGGGAAATTGCTCTTGGCCGCATAATCATGGCATTATCGGGAAATGTGGGGTAAGTAATTTGTGTTTACCGAAGCTCATGGGAAAAAAATTAAAAAAACACTTTCAAATACACATTTTATTGAATTTGGTCAAATAATATCACTTATTTACGGGTTCTCACTAAAATGGGCGCGATAGAATGGATTGTTCATATACAACCAGTTATCGATTACATATCATTTATAACTTTTAACTGCGTCGCATTTGAACAATGGGCGGCTTTGTTATACATCATCTATGGTCTTTGTTGTGTATGATGCTCTCACTCACAAGCGCCATAACGGCAACGACATAATTTTGTTATCGAGTACCTCTAAAGTAGAGTAAACACTGTGATGCAAATATAGCAAATAGCAACAAGTGCATACAAAATTAAATTATATAGTTATTTCTCGGTGTTTGGCGAGATTTTCTACATTTTTAGGGCTGTTCCAAAACATGTAAGAATCTCCTAGGTTTGCAATTTTCGATACCATTCGATTATCATAGTAAAAACTTGTAGATTCTTGCAGTTCTGGAACAGACCATTTGTTATATGTTTTGTGATGTCTTTCGTCGGAGGACGAAATATTAAACAAAAAAGAAAAATAAAAAAGCAACAAATAAATCGAGCGAAGTATTTAATTTTTATACTTCATCTAATACAGATAAAAATATTGGTACGTGCACAATTTGAAGGAAATCGAACATTTATATCCACTTTTATGCGAAATCATAAATTCCGATAAATTAAATATTCATAGTAGCGCGCGAAGATCTTTCTTAAGAGAGCATGCATTTAAGTAATAAATTCTCAGTGATTTGCAGGAGTTGGATTTTTGACAGTGAGATAAAATACGAAACGTGCGTGAGCTATTTAAACCGGTGCTGCCAAAAAATATAATGGCTGAAAATATCAATTAAGAGCAATATCAAATTAATTTTGTTATCTATAAGTTTTTAAGGCGTTACTCGTGAGTGCACAATTAACGACATTTTTCTACATCATTCATTCAGTCTATTGTAAATGATTATATCATTTAAAAATATAAAAAAAATACCATTTTTCTAATATTTATTTAATTAATTCAACTTTTAATTATTTTCACTGTATTTTAACTAAAACTGAGCTCTTGGTCAAGAATAGAATGGAAAACAACTGATTTCTTTTGTTATCGATAACATTAACACGGCATTTCAACGGCGTCGCCCAATGTTGCTTAACGGCCGCCTTAGATCGATTGACTCATAACATTCACAATAACAACTATATTCACAACATTGTGAATGATGGTGGCAGAAAAAATAATAACTACAGAGAAGAAAATACGCGTTCGTCGTAATAACAAATACATACCAGAAAAGAAAGTTTATTAAATCTAACAAGATTTCATGGAAAATCTACGAATAATATATTCCAAATATCCATAAAAGATTGGGTATTATTGTTTTCCAGTTAAATACAAAGTATAGTTCGCATTTAAAACAAAAAATTACAAAGAAAGAAAAAGTTACGAGTTGGCGGTGGTGGTGGACAGGTGGTGTTCTTTTGTGTTGTTTTTTCTACCAAAAAGGATTTGCTGGGGAAAATACACATTATAGATATCCAAAAAGAAAAAAATTCAAGTAAGTATTAAAATCCATGATATCGTTGGCTTATTCCAATTCCAATAAGATTTCTTTTAGTTTTTTTACTCCGATATTTGGGGACTTTATTGATTTTTCTCTATTTGCCATTTTCCCCTCAGCTGTCAATTGTCTTGTTTGCCTTGGTAACGTTGCTGCGTGTTGGTGGTGGTGGTTGTGAAGAAATATTACCATAAACATGAGTGCTAGAGCACGAAGACCTGGCACTGGCAATAGCCAAACACTGAATGAATGTGTACAGGTGGTGGTACGATGTCGGCCCATGAGTAATAAAGAACGTTCGGAGGGATATGATGAGGTCATCAGTGTTTATCCGAAACGGGGTGTCATCGAAATCTCCAATCAAACGGATACGCAAAAGGAACAGCGCAAAGTATTCACCTATGATGCTGTCTATGATCCAGGTGCCTCACAGACCACGGTATACAATGAAGTGGTGTTTCCATTGGTCAGTTCTGTATTGGAGGGCTATAACGGGTGTATATTTGCCTATGGTCAAACGGGTACGGGTAAAACATTTACCATGGAAGGTATTCGAGGAAATGATGAGTTGGTGGGTATTATACCTCGTAGTTTTGAACAAATCTGGCTGCACATCAATCGTACGGAGAATTTCCAATTTCTTGTTGATGTTTCCTATTTGGAAATTTACATGGAAGAATTGAGGGATCTCTTGAAGCCCAATTCCAAGAATCTTGAGGTGCGTGAAAGCAGTTCCGGTGTCTATGTACCCAATTTGCATTCGGTGACATGTAAAAGTGTTGAGGACATGATGAATGTCATGAAGGTGGGCAATAAAAATCGTACCGTTGGCTTTACCAACATGAATGAACACAGTTCCAGGTGAGGAACCCCATTTATATCAAAAGCAATTTAAATATCTCACATTTTCTTTTTTCTGCAGATCCCATTCCATTTTCATGATCAAAATTGAAATGTGTGACATTGAGACAAACACCATCAAGGTGGGTAAGCTGAACTTGATCGACTTGGCTGGCAGTGAACGTCAAAGTAAAACTGGTGCCTCGGCTGAGCGTTTAAAGGAGGCCAGCAAAATTAATCTGGCCTTGTCGTCTTTGGGAAATGTCATTTCTGCTTTGGCTGAAAACTCACCCCATGTACCCTATCGAGACTCAAAGTTGACCCGCTTGCTGCAGGATTCTCTGGGTGGTAATTCGAAAACCATTATGATTGCCAATGTTGGACCCTCGGCCTATAATTACAATGAAACCCTGACCACATTGCGTTACGCCTCTCGCGCCAAAGCCATTCAAAATCAACCCATAAAGAATGAAGATCCACAAGATGCTAAACTCAAGGAATACCAAGAAGAAATTGAACGCCTCAAGCGTTTGATAGGTTCCAAGCAGCATGTCAAGGTGGAAAAGCCCGTCAAGATAAAGGTGGTGAAAAAACCCAAGGAAAGAAGAGAAAAACAACACAGAGAAATGGCGGAGAGTATACAAACGGTGGGTGCAATTAATGACAACTCCCTTGATGCAGATGCAGCTGCGGCTGGTGCCGGTGGAAAAGAGGAAGAAGAATCGGACAAAGAAAACGAAGTTGAGGAGGAGGTGGCCAAGACCAATGAACAACTGGAAAGTGAACGTTTGGAAACGGCCAAATTGGCAGCTAAACTCAAGGAACTCGAATCTCAAATGGTAAGGGGTGGCAAAAACCTCCTCGACACCTACAGCGAAAGGCAAATCGAATTGGAAAAAAAGTTGGTAGAGATTGCCGAACGTAAAAAACGTGAAATTGAAATGCAACAGAAATTGGAACTGCAGGAAGAAACCACTTTGGAAATTCGCGAAACAGTCACATCTCTGGAACAGGAAGTGGAATTGAAGAAACGTAAACTTTCCAAATGCTATGCAAAATTCCTGGCTTTACAGCAGGAATTGAATGATTGTAAATTCGAGCACAATCAAGATTTGCGGGAACTAGAAATGGCCCAAAATGAATTGGTCAAGGAACTGAAGCGCCAACTACTCATCATTGACAACTTTGTGCCGGTGGAAGTCAAACAAAGATTATATACCCAAGCCAAATATGATGAAGAGCAGGAGGAATGGAAATTCTCGGCATTGCCGGTGGGCAATGACGGCACCTACAATACCAAACGTCCTGTATCGCATCCCCAAAGACGCCGCCCCATATCGGAATATGCCTTACTCGAGGCCAAATCGAATACAAGTGAGGCGGGCCTACGCTTTAAAAGTGAAAACATTGTATCCTATGAATTGGAAATGCCATGTCGCACTACTCAGGAATATAAGACACCAAAAATCTCTGCCTCTCTGCAGGCTGTGTTGGCCCAGGCCATGCAAACGGGTGACGATATTGATATCGTGGAGAATCACACAAATTCCATACGCAGTCGTTTGGAGAGTATTATTAATGCCAGTGCTAATGCTGCAGCAGCGGCTGCGGCGGCAAACGCTGGTGGCAGTAACATGAATGGTCATGCCACTACTGCCAATGGAGGAGGAGGTGTGGCCACGGCCAATGGTGGTGTTGGCAGCCGCATTAAATCTAGTCGTATTGCATCAGGTATACCACCATCAGCCATGGACTCGAATCGAAGACCCCCAACTGGTCGTCCTGCAACAACAGCCAAGAAGCCTGTGTCAGCTTATCCCAAAGCTCGAGGTCTAGTCACAAAATGAACTCCGGCCACAACAACAAGAAGAAAACAGAAATGACCAAACCAAAAAATCCAAAAGAGAAATGAGTAGAAAATTTGAATTGAAAACAATTATTTATCTCAATCATCATGTGTTTATGTCTTTATATGGTTCGAAAAAAAAAAAAACAACAAAACAAAAACAACTTCACACTCACTCACAGACAGATACCCCTCCATAAAAGTCTCATCCACTTAATATTACTAAAATGATGATGACGACGACATCTCTACCTTCTCTATCTTAGTGCAATATGTTCATAAGAATAATAATGTTCGATCGCTTTTAGCTTAATTTATCTTCATAATGCTATGTGTTTGTTTATTATTTACACTTTGCGTGTGTATTTATTGTATTTGTGAACTGCATTTCTTTATTGATAAGTTAAAATAGACATGTTTTTTATTTAGTTTTTGTTTTTTTTTATGTTTTGTATTATTAATTTTAGCATTTTTATTTTTTGCACAAAACTTGTTTTTTTTGTTTTTGACAACAAACAAACAATAAAGAAAGACACTGAAGACAAATTGTACGCGTTTTCATTTTGATTAAGGAGGAGCTCTTTGGAGAGGGAGGCAGACATTGGTCATCTTGATAAGACTCATTTATCATAGTCCGGTTTGAGAAGAGCTTCTAGGAAAATTTTCTGGCTCTTCTTGGAGGAAAACTATAGCTATTCCGAGAGAACATCTCTGGCTATTCTAGGAGAAGGGTTCTGGCTCTTGTGGGAGAAAAGCTCTGACACTCCTATGGGAAGAACCAATGCTCTTCTATGAGAAGAGCTCTGCTCAACCTGGGAGAAGAGCTCTGACTCTTCTGGGAAAATTTGCTGTCTCTTCTTTGAGAAAAGCTATGGTCTTCAGGGAGAAGAGCTCTGTCTCTCCTAGGAGAAGTGCTAAGATTCTTCCAGGAGAGGGGCTCTGGATCAGGTGGGAGAAAAGCTCTTGGTCTTCTAAAAAAATGGCTCTTCTAGGAAACGTTTCTGTCTCTCTTCAAGGAAATTAGCTTTGACTATTCTATGAGAAGTGCTCTGGATCCTCTGGGAGAATAAGAGCTCTAGTTCTTCTATGAGAAGAAGAGCTCTAGTTCTTCTATGAGAAGAGCTCTGCCTAGGAGAAGAGCTCTGACTCTTCTTGGAAAAATTGCTGTCTCTTCTTGGGAAAAAGCTATGGTCTTCAGGGAGAAGGGCTCTGTCTCTATTAGGAGTAAAGATATGGTTCTTCCAGGAGAGAAGCCCTGGATCTTGCGGGAGAAAAGCTTTGGCTTTTTTAGAAGTAGAATGCCAATTTTTCTACGAGAAGAGCTCAGGCTCTTCTAGGAGAAGAAGAGCTCAGGCTCTTCTAGAGGAAGAAGAGCTCAGGCTGTTCTAAGGGAAGAAGAGCTCAGGATCTCCTAGGAGAAGAATAGCTCAGGCTCTTCTAGGAGAAGAGTTCAGGCTCTTCTAGAGGAAGAAGAGCTCAGGCTCTTCTAATGGAAGAAGAGCTCAGGCTTTTCTAGGGGAAGAAGAGCTCAGGCTCTTCTAAGGGAAGAAGTGCTCAGGATCTTCTAGGAGAAGAAGAGGTCAGGCTTTTCTAGGAGAAAAAGAGTTCTGCCTCTTCTAGGAGAAGAGTTCAGGCTCTTCTAGGAGAAGAAGAGTTCAGGCTCTTCTAGGAGATGAAGAGCTCTGGTTCTTCTAGGAGAAGAGCTTTAGCTTTTCTAGGAGAAGAGTTCTGAGCTTTCTAGGAGAATATATATGTCTCTTCTATGGGAAGATATGTGACTCTTCTACGAAAAATTTCTTGCTCTTGTTGGAGTAAAACTATGGCTTTGCAGGGTGAAGAGCTGTTCCCCTCCTGGATTAAGATTTGCGGCTCTCCTATGAGAAGAAGAGCTCTGGCTTTTCTGGGAGAAGAGCTCTTACTCTCACCCTTAAGGTGGGAATACATAAAGCGCTTAAGGTGAGAGTACATAAACAGCTTGAAGTTTTCACATGGCATATTTTGTGACATATCATAAAGGGATGTCCGAGCCGCACTCGAATATCCTTTATAATTTGACATTGATATGCCTGGTCATGATGCCAAGCTGCTTATGTACCCTCACCTTTATTTGGATGGCTTAACTCATCGTTCGGCTTCTTCGGAAAAGAACAATGGAGCCTAGGGCCAAAATCGAACAAAGTCAACCTAAAACTACTAAACTACTTTCTTCCCCTACGAAGAAGCAAGCCGATGACTTAAGCCATTCAAATAAGCGCTTTATGTATTCCCACCTTTACTAATTAAAAACCAACATACTCTTTGATGTATCGTAATGTGTGAATCCCCCTTTTTCCCACAGCTGTAAAGAAAAACAAACAGCTGTTTGTGTGTTGTTGCCTTCTTCCATTCTTCCTAGTTGGCGATTTCCTCTCTTCCTTCATTCGCATTAACAAAAAAAAAGTTTGTTTGGACGTTGATTGGACTTGTTTGGACAAAAAAATGATAATTTACGGGGTGTATATAGTCAGCAAATCGGGTGGTCTGATCTTCAATTTGGACAACAATGTGCCGCGGATAGAACACGAGAAAACCTTTACCTATCCACTGGATCTGATGTTGGATTACAATCCCAAGAAAGTCAGTGTGGCCTTTAATCGTAAAGATGGGATAAATGGTAAGGATTTACATGGAATACATGTATAAGGTTAATATATCCTTCATTCCCTTGCAGTTGGTCATGTTTTGGTTGCGGTGAATGGTACCCAAGTAAATGGTGCCACGCTGGAAGATGGCCGCGATGTAAAGGAAGTCTTGGAGAATGCCGAAAATTATCCATTGAATCTAAAATTTAGCCGTCCCAAGATGACAACAAATGAAAAGATCTTTTTGGCCAGTATGTTCTATCCACTCTTTGCCATAGCGAGTCAATTGAGTCCTGAACCGAAAAGTTCAGGCATTGAGACACTGGAAACGGATTCCTTTACGTTGCATTGTTTCCAAACATTGACGGGCGTCAAGTTTATTGTTATCAGTGAGACGGGTTTAAGTGGCATGGATATTTTGCTAAGAAAAATCTATGAACTCTATTCAGATTATGCCCTGAAGAATCCTTTCTATTCGCTGGAAATGCCCATACGTTGTGAGCTGTTTGATAATAAGTTACAGGCATTATTAGATTTAGTTGAAAAAACGGGGACATTAAATTTGGACAAATAAATGATAGAGTATTTATATTGAGATGATGTGTTCGTGTGCATTTTAATTAATTGCTTTGTATATTAGTAATACGACGATGTGTATTTATAAAGTATTTATTTCCATTCCATGCAAAACAAAATAAAGAAGCGTTTGCACAGACAATATGAAGAAAAAGAGGTGGTTTTCTGTTTCCACAATCATTGCCTTGACAAACTTTGCAAGATATCAAGAGAATAATCCCTCCGACTCCAGATTTGGGAGTAATCTAAACAAGTTATTATTCGGGCCTCATAGTAATAACGGGCTTAGACCCTATGTCTCTTTGGACCAAATCTGTTTCTGGACATTTGGATTCGATCTAGCGATGTCCGTGAGTCCATCTGTCTGTCTTACTGGATGGTGCGCACGATAACTCTCGAATGTAGTATCCGATTTGGTCCAAACTTGGTACATCGTAATATTATTGTCAAACTCCACTCCATTAAGTACCTTCCCCAAAAAAGGTCGGAATTAAAAAAAATATTTTACTGCTCAGAAAGAGAAAGGATAATCTAATTTTGCTTCATGTTTGCAAATCGTAATATTTGCATCAGTGTTAAATCAGGTGCGAAAATGGACAACATTAGTCCACTCCATTAGGTACCTCCACTCTAATAAAATGTGATGTAAGAGACCGATTGCCCTCAAATTAGACACATCACAATATTTTTATTAGCCCAAGGTCTGCTATGAAGATGGAATATATCAGTCCACTCCTTCTGGTACTTCCCCCACAAAGGGTCAAAATTTTGAATATTCATGAAGCTCATAATACGCATAATACGTGAAATTAACATACGATTCCATTCAGACTTCGCACGCCTCAATTATTTCTATCAAGACAAAATCTGTTACGAAGATGGTAGAGATCGGACCATTCCTTCCGGTACCTGCCCCACAAAGGGTCAACATTGTAAATTTAATTAAATTACCAAAACGATTATAAAATGCGAAAGAAGCCTCTGGTTCTCTTCATATTTCACACATCTCATTATTACTAACACAAGATCTGCTACGAAAATGGAATATATCAGTCCACTTCTTCCGGTTACCTCTCCCACAAAGGGTCAAAATTTTGAATATCCATGAAGCTCATACAACGCGAAATTAACACCCGATTCTATTCAGACGTGGTACATCTCAAAATTTCTATCAACATAAGATCTTCCAGGAGAAGAGTTTTGGTTCTTCCAGGAGAAGAGCTGTAGCTTTTCTGGGAGAAGTGCTTCTATAAGAATGGTAAAATAGCCAAGCTATCGAAATTTTAGAAATAGGTACTTTTTCTTGTGTTTTACTCGCCTACCGTACCGTAGCGTTTTTAATTCTAAAATTGTCTACTTTGCGTGGAAGTTCAATTTTTATACACGAAAACAGTCTAAAGATGAGAATGCATAAATTAATGAAATATATTGAATGGCTTAAGTCATCGGCTGGCATCCTCGGAAAAGAAGAAAGGAGCAAAGGGCCAAAATCGAACTCCTTAGTCCCTCTACGAAGAAGCAGGCGGATGACTTAAAGCCAGCCAAAAAAGCTTTTATGTACTTTCACCTTAGCTCTATCTCTAGAATTGATAAAAAATTTTCTCAACAGTGTATACCCAACTTAAATAACGGACAAATTGACAGTGACATTCATTTTACGATACGTCGCCACTAATTTATGAGACCAAGCATCCAAATTGACACAACGTACAAACAGCTGTTCTTGACACCACCAACCAACCAATTTAATCTGTTCTGTGTATATTTTCTTGGAAAGATAGAGTTTCTAACACACAAGTGCTCCCAAAAATAAGCAAAATAAGCTGCTTCTTCTGAAGGCCAATATATTCTACACCGTCAACAGTTTAACGATAATTCCGTCAAAGTGGAGAAAATGGGCTCAGATGACACCAGCACCAATTCGAGTGAGGCCTTCGATCGGGGAGATCGCATACAAAAGGGATTCCAAATAAACTATATGATTTTACGTGATGCCGATACGGGAAAGGTTATATGGCAGGAAAACAAAGATTTCTCATCGCCAGATGTGGAACATGAGGCCAAGGTGCCCGTGAAAATACTCGACTTGCGGGCTGTATCGAGAGAAATCAATTTCAGTACAATTGAGGCCATGGAAAACTTTCGTTTGGATCAAAAGGTACTCTTCAAGGGACGCATAATGGAGGAATGGTTCTTCGAAATGGGTTGGGTGGGTGCGAACACCACAAATACCTGGCAATCGACCATTGAAGCAGCACCCGAATCACAAATGATGCCTGCCAAGGTTCTAAATGGTAATGTCACCATTCAAACCAGTTTCTATGACAACGATACACTCATCACCAAATCTGTGGTACGACTTTACTACATATAGACAGTTTCTCAGTGACCTCGACAATGTTGATTACACCAACAACAACAACAACAGCAACATCAATCACAACAACAACACTACATTGCCTGCTCATTATAACAACCAAAAAGACAAAAGCGGACATCTCCTCCACGTTATAAAAAAAAAACCAAATCAATTTACAACAACAACAGCCCACACAATAATTACGAAATTTTATTTCTGCTTTATAATATTATTTCATTTCATTGATTATTTGATCTCTCTCCCACAACAAAAAAACAAAAAAAAACATTTTTTGTTGGTCAGTTTAATGACATTTGGAATGTGCATTCACTGAGGAGATACCACAAAAACATACATATTCACCTACTGCGGGGTTATGTTCTGGAAATTGAAATAACAACGACATACCAACAACATAAATTAACAAGCAGCCAAACGGTTGGAAGAAGAAGTAATGAAATTGTTAAGCATTTCTAATTTAAAATTACTAAATATTTATTTATAAACAGTAATAATAACAATATGTCTTAAAATCTATACATTAACACTTTGCATACACACGCACACACAAACAAATAATTTAGAACTCTATGTGTGTATGTATTTTTATTTTTAAAACATTTGTGTTGCATTTCTTGAATATTTAGGTATTTAGACGGAAGATGCCGTCATAAACATAAAAAACGAATGAACGATTCTGTTTAATGTACTTTAGATATTTTTTTGTTCAGCGTTTTTTCAACATTTAATTCAGCTATTGTATTAATATAAGCAATAATCCTAGATAAATAACGTGTTATAAGAATTTACCATATACATAAGTGTATACAAATATTTATTTTTAATATTTAATTTTATTAAACAAATTAACGCTTGTTTTTAATATTACTAATACGTTTTAAATGAAATATAAAAAAAGAAACGAAATTCTGTTAACCAAAAATATTTGAATATCTTCTTTCATCTTTTATGGTGCAGATATCATGGGCAAAGGGGCAGCAGGTGGTATACCTGACTGACTACCAGCAGAGGACAATACCGAATCTTAGTCAAATAGTTTACAAAATGTCACGAAACCTTCTCAGAAGGTAGAAGTATTCTTATACTCTCCACCATGAAGGTGAGGAGAAGAAAGGATATAAGGATAGAAGAAAAGGTATATCTACATCAATAAAAGTGTAAAGTAATTGACTGATCGACTAACTGACTTAAGGATTCATCAACACCCAGACCAAACGACTGAAGCTAGAATCTTGAAATTTTGGGTGAGGGTCACTTTTCGTCCGAAGGGGTCAGAAAAGGCTGGGTTTTTGGAAATTCGTACTAGAACGGTACGAAAAGTACTATATATTATACCCCTTGTATTGGACGAACCAGTAGATCTGCAACTCTTAAATTCGGAAAAAGGGTCATTAATGGAGTTTATGATGGATGTACCAAAGGTATTTTGGATATTCGCACTATAAGTGTACGAAAAGTACTCCATTTGGTATGATTTCGTATTATGTGAACGGTTAGACATAAAAATTTGGAATGGGAATGTAGGTTGAGGGGTAGGGTCGATGAAAGGAGGTAGTTTTGGAAGTGTGTGCTTGTGTATACGAAAAATACTTAACGGTACTAAATTTAATACAATTCGAATTAGGGGGAACGGATGGAGGTGGAATCCTGAATTTTGAAATTAACATTATTGGCGGAGTGTAGAATTAAGATATAGAGAAAGTTTGTATTGGACGAACCAGCAGAGCTTCAACTCTTAAATTCGAAATAAGGCTTATTAATAGAGTGTATGATGGATATACCAATGGGTTTTTGGATATTCGCACTATAAGTGTACGAAAAGTAATACATTTGGTACGATTTCGAATTATGTGAACGGTTAGACATAAAAATGTGGAATGCGGATGAAGGTTGAGGGGCAGGGTGCATGTATACGAAAAGTACGAAACGGTACTAAATTTAGTACAATTCGAATTTGGGGGAACGGATGGAGCTGGAATCCTGAATTTTGAAATTAACACTATTGGCGGAGTGTAGAATTGAGATATAGAGAAAGTTTTGAAATGTGTACTTATGTGCACGAAAAGTACCAAAAGAAGATTACTATTGCATTATTGAACAGAGGAATGAAGATTGTTTTAAGATTTCGTACTTATTTGTTCTACATCATACTTAAATTTAGCACAATTTTGAGTTTGGGAGAACCAATAGAATTAGAATCCTGAAATTTGCAAATAAAATGAATATTGCTTTGTAGGTCTGAGGTATGTAGGCAGTTTTGAAAATTTGCACTTATGTGTACTAAATGGTACTAACTTTGCTACAATTTAATTTTTGGGTAGATCGAAAGAGATGGAATCCTGAAATTTGGAAACAAGATTTTATTGGACTGTATGATATATGTAGTTATGAAATATTGTACTTAAGTGTACTAAACGGTACTAAATTTGGTAAGGGTGAATGAAATAAGCAGGAATTTTGAAATTAGGTATCGGGATGCCTAATTACTTACTACACACTTCTTTATCACAAACCTACTACCAACAGGTTTGTGATAAAGAAGTGTGTATTGAAATGTATACACGCACACAAATTTGGTATTAAGGACTGCTATTCGTGACTGAGGTTAGACATATGGAGATGATTTCAGAAATGTGTACTATAATTTAACGAAAAGTACAGAATAATACTATATTTGGTACTGGGCGAGGGATAGAGATAAAATTAAAAAATACATTTCTCACGGTTTCTGTGCTTGGGTAAAGCAGGAATCACAAAATCTGATTTTTAGGTCTCTGTTTGTATCTAAGATTTAGGTAAGTATAAACTTTACACAATTTGGTATTGGGTAAAGGGGTAGAGCTTAAATCATTAAATTTATATTAAAGTCACTGTTGATATCTTTGGTTAAGATATGGAGGTGGTTTTTGAAATGCCTTTTATTTTTGTACGAAAAGTACTAAATGGTACTAAATTTGGTATTGGGTATTGAGAGAGCTGGAATCCCGAAATCTGTAGAGGTCTTAGTCTCTGAAAATTTAGTGGGTTGTATAAAGTTTAGTTTTAAAAATATTGTCAAACTAATTTAAAATTTTAAGTGAACTTTTCTCTAATAAAGTGGCTGGCACTCGCACATATTTGGTAATAGGAACTAAAAATGAAATATAGATCTATGTTTTTTTCTTGTTTTATATAAATGAAAAAAAAAAAAAAATGACGCTGTTCATAACTTTTTGTTGGCATGTCTTTATTTTTTGTTGAATGTTAAAGAAACATTAAGAAAAGCCAGATATATTGTGGGAAAATTAAAGCAGGAGCCGATAAGTCAATTTAATTCAATTGCAGACGTAACGTGACTATGAGCAAAATTGCGAATAACGTCGTGCAATACGGAGCGAAAATTTACCACAGCTAGAGCCTTGATATTTCGTATATTTCTTGTAGGGGTGAAGCAATACAGCAGGGGTGAAGCAATACAGCAGTTCTCCGTAATGTTTATTCGTTTGAATCTTTTAACATGAAAGGGATTTTGTTGGCTAGTTAAAAAAATAAGATTTTCTAATACCCTCAGTCTTATGGCTTGCCATTTTATATGGCAAAAATGTCGCACGATAATTTTTGCGAAGGATGGATGCTACTTCGTCCTAAACTTAACAAATTCCAATATTTTTTCGGTCCACTCCTTCCGCTTATGGTAACAGTTTACAAAATTATAAATATTGAATATCTCACAGAGACTGAAAGATTTATCCGATTTCGAATAATTTTTGTCAGGTGAGAAAATTAATTATGTGAGAAAATTGCCATCGGCGGCCCACTCCTTCCGTTATTTCCCATTCAAAGGATCAACATACCAAAAAATCATAGAATGGAAAAATCATAACTTTCATAAAATATAAAAAAGGATCAGATTGATTGTATTCGGATACTTCGCCACTTTCGGTAAAAATTTCAATGAGCATGACGCTCGTAAAATACGAAATAAGCAACCGATTGTTATTTAACTTAAGGTTTCTACCAACAGAAGAACTGGTAGGAAGATGGGATATAGCTGATCATTCCTTCTGGTACCTCTTCCACTAGCGGTCAAAATTTTGAACAATTATAACCTATATAACATGAAAAATTTCTTTCAACCAAAGTTCTGGGATATTTGTGGTTCACTATTTTTGGTACATAAACCAACAAGAATCATAATAAAAATAATAACTCTGGTAAGTGTCTGAAATTAAACAAACTATATTAGAGTGCTTGTAAAAATGGAATATTTTAGTCCACAACAGCTCAAAAATTTTACACCAAAAATTCAAATCTTATTTTCAGTGGAGAGGTAACCATTATAGTTTAAAATTTGCGCATCGCGATATTTATATAAGACGTAGGTAGAGCGATAAAAGTTCAATACATATCGTACTTAAAATAAATAATTGATTTCAAAAATTAAAAATAACCCTAAGACTACACGTTTTCCCATCTCCAGTGAAACAAAATCTTGTAAAGCTGTGAAAAAGTGCAGCAAAATCAAGAAAAAAGAAGAAATCAAGTAAAAAAGCTGTAAGTTCGGCCGGGCCGAACTTTGAATACCTCCACCATTAGCAATGAATTTGGCAATTTTCAAAAAAAAAAATCCTTTAAAAATTCTGTTAAAATCTTAAAAATACCGAACGTAACCGTTATATTAGGGTTTATACGAGGACGTGGACCTACATAGGCAACTTTTGTCATAAGACATTACAATATTCAAATGCGAAACTTGAGAAAAAATGGTAAAATCATCAAAATACAAAATATCGGGAGGCATCGTTATATGAGGGCTGTACGAAAACGTGGACTGTCATACGAACTTCAAAAATCAAATTTGAAACAATTCCGACCGTTGTAGGGAGATTATACCAAGACGTGGACCTGCACAGAAAATTTTCGGTCTTAGGCTGTAGTATCCATGACGAATTTTAAATACCAAATTTGAAACAATTCAGGCGAATAATGTCGCTAACATCGTCAAAATCCCGAATATCGGGAGGTACCGTTATATGGGGGCTATACGAAGACGTAGACCTGCACAGACAATTTTCTGTCATAGGCTGCAGTTTCCATTACGAACTTCAAATACCGAATTTGAAACCACACCGGTGCAGAATGTCGCTAAAATCATCAAAATCCCGAATATCGGGAGGTACCGTTATATGGGCGCTATACGAAGAGGCGGACTTGCACAGACAATTTTCTGTCATAGGCTGTAGTATCCATTACGAACTTCAAATACCGAATTTGAAACATTTCCGGTGAATAATGTCGCTTAAATCACCAAAATACCGAAAATGGAGAGGAGGTATCATTATTTGGGGCTATACATCCCCCCTTCATACTATGCTGGAGGGTACAAAAATGCCATACCATGACAAGAGTTCCATGCTTATAATCCAAAATTGATTCGGATCTCTACCTCTCTTGTAACAAGAATAAATGCAAATGCCAATACAGATGCCGAACCACATCACTTGCACCGAAGATTGAATTATTGGTTCCGAATCTTTTCATGCAAACATTCATATGCATACTATAAGGGGTAACTCAATTCAAAGTTATTTTTCAGCAATTTCCTTAAACAATATGTGAATACCTATCATAAATCTTATTTTCCTAAATACTGAACTTTTCCTATTCTATGTTAATTACACATATACCTATAACTATGCTTATAATTATAAAGTTCTCCAAAAAAAGATTAATAAAGACTGGAGTCCCTAACGTTTTTTTATGTTTCAATTTCTTAAAACTAATTAAATCTATTGTTAAATCTACTTAATTTCTATTGTTAATTGTAATTAATCTACTATTTACAAAATTTAAAAATGATATGCTACACCCACTACTGCGATACCAGATAGATGGGGTTTTCTAACGCTCTTAGTTCATCGTTAGTAAACTGCTCGGTGGCCTATAATTGGCCCGAGCTAGCCTGTGTACATTTCTTTCATGTAAGAGGCTTTCTCTTAATACCCAATTATTGACGGATGCAGCTATTTCTAGGAGCATTAGAGAACTAGCCATAAGAAATTTGTCTATAGGGCTGTAGTCGTTCGATTCGAAAATTATCCTTTTGGCAGATTCCATTTTCAACTTGGAATACATAAACACATAGAATTGCGTCTTATTCCTGATATACGATACATACATACAAATAAATTCGCCTCGGATATTATCCCATTAAATCGATTGTTCAACTTCAATCGAATGAATCATGTACCCACTACCTACACACATTTCTATTACTCGACAAACAAGAATTGCTTTTTGCAGTTGTGTTCGATAAATTAAGCGTCTAAGCGTAAGCAAATTGAAATGCCAGAGAAAAGTAAAGGAGTCAAGAAAAAAAAAAAAACAACAATAAAAAGTAAGAACACACACAAAGCTAAGATCGAGCTCGCAGTGTCGTCGTTATCATCGTCATAGCCAGTCGCTCGACAAGTTCTACAAGTTGCTGAAGAACAAACACGAGTATTGTTTTGGTTTTTTTCCTAAAACCTCGATGCCCCCCCCTTTTGTTTAAGTGAGGAGGAGGCTGCTCGTCGTTTTGCTGATGACCGACCGACCGACCGGTGGTGGATTGGCTCCACACACACTTGGCGCATCTTAATTTTGTTTCTTTTTTTTGTGCCCCATGCCCATCTCCCCACTTCAGTGATTATAAGTGGCGGTGATAATGATGATGAGGATGATGGTGGTGTTGTTTGCGGCCGCTGCCGCTGCCATTTCGTGTGACCGGCATATGGCTTGCCATTTTATATGGCAAAAATGTCGCACGATAATTCTTGCGAAGGATGGATGCTACTTCGTCCTAAACTTAACAAATTCCAATATTTTTTCGGTCCACTCCTTCCGCTTATGGTAACAGTTTACAAAATTATAAATATTGAATATCTCACAGAGACTGAAAGATTTATCCTATTTCGAATAATTTTTGTCAGGTGAGAAAATTAATTATGTGAGAAAATTGCCATCGGCGGCCCACTCCTTCCGTCTCCCATTCAAAGGATCAACATACCAAAAAATCATAGAATGGAAAAATCATAACTTTCATAAAATAAACAAAAAGGATCAGATTGATTGTATTCTGATTCTTCGCCACTTTCGGTAAAAATTTTCAATGAGCATGACGCTCGTAAAATACGAAATAAGCATCCGATTCTTATTAAAATTAATGTTTCTACCAACAGAAGTTCTGGTGGGAAGATGGGATATAGCTGATCATTCCACTAGCGGTCAAAATGTTGAATAAGTATAACCTTTATAACATGTGAAATTTCTTTCAACCAAAGTTCTGGGATATTTGTGGTTCACTATTTTTGGTACATAAACCAACAAGAATCATAATAAAAATAATAACTCTGGTAGAATATGATATAAGTGTCTGAAATTTAACAAACTATATATAAAGTGCTTGTAAAAATGGAATATTTTAGTCCACAACAGCGCAAAAATTTTACACCAAAATTCAAATCTTATTTTCAGTGGAGAGGTAACCATTATAGTTCAAAATTTGCGCATCGCGATATTTATATAAGACATATCGGACTTAAAATAAATAATTGATTTCAAAAATTTAAAAAAAAAACCCGAAGACTTTACGTTTCCCCATCTCCAGTGAAAAAAAATCTTGTAAAGCTGTGAAAAAGTGCAGCAAAATCAAGAAAAAAGAAGAAAACAAGTAAAAAAGCTGTAAGTTCGGCCGGGCCGAACTTTGCTTACCTCCACCAATAGCAATGAATTTGGCAATTTGGCACCAATAGCAATGAATTTGGCAATTTTCAAAAAAAAAAAAATCCCATAAAAATTCTGTAAAAATCTTAAAAATACCGAACGTAACCGTTATATGTATTAGGATTTATACGAGGACGTGGACCTACATAGGCAACTTTTGTCATAAGACATTACAATATTCAAATGCGAAACTTGAGAAAAAATGGTAAAATCATCAAAATACAAAATATCGGGAGGCATCGTTATATGAGGGCTGTACGAAAACGTGGACTGTCATACGAACTTCAAAAATCAAATTTGAAACAATTCCGACCGTTGTAGGGAGATTATACCAAGACGTGGACCTGCACAGAAAATTTTCGGTCTTAGGCTGTAGTATACATGACGAATTTTAAATACCAAATTTGAAACAATTCAGGCGAATAATGTCGCTAAAATCATCGAAATCCCGAATATCTGGAGGTACCGGGGCTATACGAAGACGTAGACCTGCACAGACAATTTTCTGTCATTGGCTGTAGTTTTCATTACGAACTTCAAATACCGAATTTGAAACCATGCCAGTGCAGAATCGCTAAAATCATCAAAATCCATAATATCGGGAGGTACCGTTATATGGGGACTATACGAAGAGGCGGACTTGCACAGACAATTTTCTGTCATAGGTTGTAGTATCCATTAGGAACTTCAAATACCGAATTTGAAACATTTCCGGTGAATAATGTCGCTTAAATCACCAAAATGCCGAAAATGGAGAGGTCTCATTATTTGGGGCTATACCTCCCTTAATACTATGCTGGAGGGTACAAAAATGCCATACCATGACAGACAAGAGTTCCATGCTTATAATCCAAAAATGATTCGGATCTCTACCTCTCTTGTAACAAGAATAAATGCAAATGCCAATACAGATGCCGAACCACATCACTTGCACCGAAGATTGAATTATTGGTACCGAATCTTTTCATGCAAACATTCATATGCATACTATAAGGGGTAACTCAATTCAAAGATATTTTTCAGCAATTTCCTTAAACAATATGTGAATACCTATCATAAATCTTATTTTCCTAAATACTGAACTTTTCCTATTCTATGTTAATTACACATATACCTATAACTATGCTTATAATTATAAAGTTCTCCAAAAAAAGATTAATAAAGACTGGAGTCCCTAACATTTTTTTATGTTTCAATTTCTTAAAACTAATTAAATCTATTGTTAAATCTACTTAATTTCTAATGTTAATTGTACTTAATCTACTATTTACAAAATTTAAAAATGATATGCTACACCGACTACTGCGATACCAGATAGATGGGGTTTTCTAACGCTCTTAGTTCATCGTTAGTAAACTGCTCGGTGGCCTATAATTGGCCCGAGCTAGCCTGTGTACATTTCTTTCATGTAAGAGGCTTTCTCTTAATACCCAATTATTGACGGATGCAGCTATGTCTAGGAGCATTAGAGCACTAGCCATAAGAAATTTGTCTATAGGGCTGTAGTCGTTCGATTCGAAAATTATCCTTTTGGCAGATTCCATTTTCAACTTGGAATACATAAACACATAGAATTGCGTCTTATTCCTGATTTACGATGTATACATACAAATAAATTCGCCTCGGATAGGATCCCATCAAATCGATTGTTCAACTTCAATCGAATGAATCATATATGTACCCACTACCCACACACATTTCTATTACTCGACAAACAAGAATTGCGTTTTGCAGTTGTGTTTGAGAAATTAAGCGTCTAAGCGCAAGCAAATTGAAATGCCAGAGAAAAGTAAAGGAGTCAAGAAAAAAAAAACAACAATAAAAAGTAAAAACACACACAAAGCTAAGATCGAGCTCGCAGTGTCGTCGTTGTCATCGTCATAGCCAGTCGCTCGACAAGTTCTACAAGTTGCTGAAGAACAAACACGAGTATTGTTTTGGTTTTTTTTTCCAAGAACCTCCGATGCTCCCCCTTTGGTTTAAGTGAGGAGGAGGCTGCTCGTCGTTTTGCTGATGACCGACCGACCGACCGGTGGTGGATTGGCTCCACACATACTTGGCGCATCTTAATTTTGTTTTTTTTTTGTGCCCAATACCCATCTCCCCACTTCAGTGATTATAAGTGGCGGTGATAATGATGATGCGGATGATGGTGGTGTTGTTTGCGGCCGCTGCCGGTCACACGAATTGGCAAATTCAAACCTCTTTGGTTTTTCTTTATCAATTGGATTTTTTTCGCATTTGCTTCGCGGTGTTTTTGTAAATGCGTGTTGTTTGTTGGTATGCCTGTATGTGTCGGTGTGTAACCATGTTGGAGGGTTTTACGGCTTCAATGCTTGTTTTTTTTTTCTTGAATTGGAGGGAATTCTCCACCGTTTCGGCCATTATTGTGCGCCATACCTTTCCACCATTGCGAGGTTTTTGGCGATGACTGAGCATGACTGATGGTTGGTTGACTGTGGTCTAAAGAAGCTCGTAACACGCAATTGTTGAATATATTTTTGGTTTCTTAAAGCTTAAATTTGAAAATAACAATGAATCGTAGGTTCATAGCATGGCGTTAGCTGGGCAGATTCATTGACAAGACGGGAAGAAGGCAACGGAGCGCTCGTTGATAATTTCTACAAAGGTGTAGTAGCTCTTCTCTCGTTCTGTGTTCGATTTGGCTGGCTCGTTTTCATGCACGGCAAAATTATAAAAATGTCGAATACACGACAACAAAAACCGGCAATCGTGAAACACACCGGCCATCCGTGAGCCCCTACAACGAACGGAACGGATGTCTTTGGCCGCTGCTGTGATTAGGTTGCTGCCGGTGATTGTAGCCATCACAGAGGTTCGTTGTGGTCTATTTTATTCATGGCTTTAGTTTGGCTAGATTATGGCTGGGTAGATTTTAAGATTTGCTTGACTGACTTCACAATAAAATTTCAGATACTCGACCATGCCGCCTGCCATTCGTTATTCGTTCGTTGATTCCATGGGTAATAAGGCTCCGCTGCTATTGTTGTTGGTGTGGGTACCTACAAATTTTTGTAGCTTACAGCATTTTGAATCAAGTCTAGAAAATCGTGAGCCTTACAAGCCTTTATGATTGTTGTTCTTCTTCTAAAGTATGTTTTTGCATGTGGAGCTACTGCCAGCCGAGCAGTATCCTCTCTTGTGCTCAGCTCCCCCTCCCTACAACTCCACTACACTATCACATCTATCCATCCTTATATCAACCATTAAGCCATAACAAATGCTCCGTCTCCAACTCGTTATTTCCCATGTTCCTCCTGCAATCCAAGTGTGGAGTGAGGATGGGGGCAGAGTCCGGGAATATTTGTTATTGTTGGTGTTGTTGTTGTTGCGGCTCTTGACACACCATCGCCTGTCTGTTTGCTGGCTTGCTTGGTTGCCTGCCTGCCTGCCAGCCTGAGATTCCAGTTTGTTGTTCGTGATCACACTGCTAAAACAACAACAACAACAACCACAATAATAACAGTCAACAGCCGTGGTAGTAACAGCACGACCGACCGACCACCTAAAGTCCGTTGTCGAGCAAAAATTTATACGTATTTCTTCTACTCGCCTGTAACTCTGCTGCTGGGCTCGCTCTTCTGTGTTTCGTGTTGCGTTGCTTGTGTGTATATGAGACGTCGTCCGTCGGTCGTCACTTGTGTTTTTTGTTGTTTTTGTTGTGGTACTAACTCTGCTTGCCTGCCTGCCTGACTGACTGCCTGTTGTCTCGGCTGGGTTCGCTCGCTCGCTCCCTCTGTGTGCCATTGTCGAGTGCTGCGCTTAGCCGAGTAAAACAACTGTGTTTTTTCACGATTTTGTTTTCTTATTTAGTATTTTTCCAATTATTTTGAGCTGTTTCTTTTTTCAGACCGTGTGTGTTGTGTGCATCTCCTCCATTGTTGTTAGCGTTTCGTATGGCGATGGTGACGCAGTGAAATCCAGTTGGGTTTTAGAGAGTTGCTGGAAAACAACCATCAAAAGAAAAATCGCTAATTTTCTTAACATTTTCAGTTTTTTGTTTGTTTGTTTTCCAATTTGTGGTTTCCTTTAAGGAAAAAGAAAAAGTGAATTGTTAAATAAAGTAAGTTTATTTCGATATTCGATTTATTTACCTTGTGCATCGTGTGGGTGTTGATTGAAAGGACACTTGTTCTTGGAGAACAAGGGATGACGGCTACAACAGAGTGTGAAGAGAGTATGAGAATTGTTGATGTTGTTCCAAATGACAATTGTTCCCGGAGAAAACATTTCTTTGTTAAATCGTATTTACAACTCTGATTGGCATTTGAATCGGCCGATTTGAATCGTATTCTTATTGGAGCGGATCGTTTTAAGTTGTAATGAAAACCAAAGAACAAGACCTAAGAATCGTTGAAATATTGATGCTTAATCTAATTAAAATATTTGCACACTTCGAAAATATGAAAATTAAGAACTGGGATCTATTTGAGAACAAAAATTTCAGTTCTAGATTTCTTGAAGATCAAAAAATTTTTAAAATTGTTTCCAACTAAGACATCTACGTTATTTGGGAGTCATAAAATACATGCCGAGCACTCAAATTATGGATAAATTTTGTGCCAGATTTTGCGTAGGCTGTAGTCAGTCCTCTTTCACCATTGGGGAGAAGATCACAATATCTATGTCTCTGCTTCGTTCTCAAACAAACGGTAATAGTCAGTGATATTTTTCCCTATAACTTGAATCGAAGAGTAAAGTGAACTTCGCGAAAGTCCGGGAGCCCACCACCCAAAAAAAAATAATAGAAGTGATTCTTTAACACAAAGCTCAAATATAAATATGAAATTCAAACGGTTAGCTCCTGTGCCATGGTGAAGATACCAAGCCAACAATTTGTTTAAAATCGCATGACACAGGATCGGTTAAGATAAAGTAAAAATATCGTGAGAACGGTTGGGTGAAGATGTCATGCCAAAATTTGGGTGAAAGTGCCAAAAATGATTTGGATCTTTTATCTGTCAAAAGCTTGTAATATGAAGCCGCGCAAGATTCAAAAAAGATGTCAACCCATATCCCTTGTAGATATGATTAAACACCATGTTTAGCATCGAAGAATGTTGCAGGGTAGTGCAAATTCCTTTGGACGACATACATTTTCATAAAAACTATAATAAATTTTCCAAAAGGATACACCGGCAAGAAAGCAGCTCACAACGACAAAACTTAAAGAGTGCTTGACAAGAGAGAGAGAGAGAGAGAGAGAATTGTGCTCCCACTTTAAAACGAGCAAAGCATGCTCGTTTTTTTTTTTCTACTCCCAGAAGTGCTCCCGCTCGAATTCGAGTAAAGAGTGAAACTCTGCTACAAAGTATATATATTCTTGATCAGCGTAAAATTCTAAGTTGACTCGCCTATTTCTCGAACAAAATGAGATAGATCTTTTAAATATTGTATTTTGTCAGTGGGAACGTCAAGTTCGGATCACTTGTTGTTATTGATGTCTCCTCCATATGACGATACCGCCACTAAATGCTAAGCTTTAAACTGAATTCTCCAATCGATTTATAATTGGATGTTTAATAATAATGGGAATGGTATTTTGTTAATAATGAAGGCAATTTTTTAACGTGACCCCCAAAGGAGGAAGTCGCTAGGTATTAAATCAGGAAATCGAGTGGCCAATTGTGGTCATCTCTTCGGGAAATAATGCGGTTCGGCGTATATTACGTAGCGTCGTCTTATTGAAAGTAAACGTTGTCCAGATCAATGCCATCTAACTCCGACCTAAAACCGAGTTAACATTTCTCGATAACGCACTCCACTCAATGTAAATGTTGCTTCAACCACATTTTCGAAGAATAAGGTCCAATGACTCCAAGGCTGCGAATGGAGTGGCTTCTCAACAGTACCTCTTGGATTTTCCAGGCCTCAGATGTCCCATTTGGGTTCGTTGATGTATCCAGCCACCGAGGTGAAAATGGACCTAAATCATTCAAGACGATTTTCGATTGGTTTCGGGGACACCATGTTTTTGATGATTGATCGGTCGGCTTAAGTTTATTGGGCTATAGCAGCAATGCTCTCTGCTGTTGTCGATAGATAGTTGTGCAAAACTGTCAAAGAACGTACGTTAGCGGCACTATTTGAACGCGTATTCTCTTGTCTCTATTTTTCCCAACGATTTTTGATGGTGAATTCTCAGTTAGGCTAATACACTCACTCTCAATTTAGTTATGTACTTCATTTTTCTCGATCGACTTGCACGGTTTTTTTTTTTCTACACATCACTAACTTTTATACCGATACCTGTGTTGCGGTCACTGCAATTTTCTTTATTAAAATAGTAATTTTTACTTGAGCGGATTATTCAAATTTTCATCACTTATCCGAAACTCGTTTAGTTCACATGTTTTTAGAAATATTGAAATGTGAAAAGTTTGAATATAATAGCGAAGCGAAGTTTAATAAACCAAATATTTGCTCCCATTTCTTTGAAAAATTAATCGAAAGAAAAGGAGATTTTACTCGTTCTCGATCTAAGTTTGGTAGAAATATTACGATGTAGAAATTTGGAACCACTTCAAGAATTACAGAGCGCTCCAGCTTCTATCGTTCTAAAAGAGACTTCTTCCAAAAAGACGTCATAGGGTCTAAAAATGTATTATTTGGATAGGGAACAAATTGGCCATATCAAAAAGGTGCGTCACATAGCTAAGACTTAATGAATGGTTTATTTTGGTTTCATTCATTCAATTTTCTGCAGAAAATATGATTTCTTCGTGCAATGCAGCTTTTTATACAAAGATCTACTGAATTGATTCGGTAGAGCACGGTAAATTAAAAACTAAACTTTATTATACAGGAAAAAATAAAGGAAAAGTACTTACCCGAGAAGACGAAGAATTCTGAAAAAATATAAATAACACATTAGTCAAGATGTTTTAAGGTTAGCTGGATTAAAGGAAAGACTTTATTTAGAGTGGGGTAAAATTAGTTTCAATAGTTAAAGATAAGTTTCATTGCTGACATCTCGTAGAAAAACCTGAATGCATAGCAAAGCCTTCATTGTTTAGTTATTTGTAGCCAATTTAAAATCCTATATGACTTTAGCAAACCTATGAATTGCGTTTTTTAATATTGGATCTTATTGGCATGCAAATCCTCATATGAAGGATTATGATGTGAATTTGGAAATTAAGTAGCAAAAAATTCATATAAAACCCCAGAGACAAACCAGTCATGAAACAATTAACAGAGAATAAACAAAACTCGAAAAGAGTTGGATTGATATCTAAACCAGTAAGGAAAAGTCAAAAGTCGGGCGAGGCCGACTATATGATACCCTACACAAAAATGCAAATTTTGGTTACAGCTCCCGTCATAAAAGAATTTATTTGAAGTAGATCTACATTTGGATTTGGAGCAGTTATAGATTGGTTTCAGAGGGAACTAATATATGGGAGGCATATCCAATTCTGAATCGACTTTCACTAAATTTGACAGAGACATTTTAATCTTTTATACAAAATAACATTTCTATTGAGGTCATGAGAAGGATTATTTTAAAAAATATGTATCGGGGTTCCACAAAATGGAAATATTACGTCCCGAAATGCATTTGGGCTGATATTAGCCATTATTTGCACAAAAAAAAAAACCTGAAATCGAATTTAGAATATTTAGGAGCTATATCCAAATCTTAGCCGATCTCGATAAAATTTGGCAATGGTATTTCCGAGCTCTGTAAGAGACCTAAGGAATTTAAACACCAAATCTGATGAAACATGTCTATGGGAGCTATAGCTATACCTGAACCCATATTCTCCAAATTTGATATACCTGCTTCTAGACTGAATTCAGGCGGATGTACCAAAATTCAGGACTTTTGGGCAGATATTGGGTGCACAATTAACCCAAAATCGGTAAAATATATGAGTGAGAGCTATAACCAAATCTGAACCGATCTTAAAATTTGACAGAGTTATTTCCGAGATCTATAAAATATCTGGTACCAAATGTCATTATTGTCGAATGGATATTATAAATGGGAGGGACTTAAACACAATATCGGATGTAACATATATATGGGATCTATAGCTATATCTGCACCGATTTTCACTAAATTTGATGTACTTTCTTCTGCAGTTGGATGTGCCAAAATTCAGATAATTTGGACTTATATTGGTCATTTGGTGCGCAATTAACCCGAAATCGGTTTAAGATATATATGGGAGCTTTATCCAAATCTAAAGCGATATTGATAACATTTGGCAGAGGTATTTTTCGGCTATATCTGATACCTGGCACCAAATATCATTGTTGTGAAGTGCTTACCATATCGGATGAAACATATATATTGGAGCTATAGCTATATTTGAACCGATTTTCACCAAATTTGATGTACTTGCTTCTAGACTGAATTCGTTTGGATGTGCTGAAATTCAGATCATTTAGACTTATATTGGCCATTTGGTGCACAATTAACTCGAAATCGGTTGAATATATATGGGAGCTATATCGAAATCTGATCCGATTATCTTCAATTTTAATATGGGTTTTCCTTGGTCCAAACAAATATTGATTGGAAAATGTCATCTCAATCGAATAATAAATTAGACCTGTATTTTGTTCACAAGAATACATGGACGGAGGGACAGATGGACTGGCATGCATAAATCGACTCAGAAAGTGGTTCTATGAAGATCCTCAAAAGTAACTATGGGTCTATCTCGCTTCCTTCTTCCTGTTACAAACAAATGCACAAAGACATAATACCCTTACCACTATGTGGTGTATGGTATAAAAATGTAGAGAAAATGGAGACAATTGAAAAAATCAATGTCGGCTTAATTAAATGAACTGATTTTTCTTTTCTTCAATAGCCACAAATATTTCATAAAATAAAAATTTTAGTTTATCTCAATTTTTATTTAATCTCTGATTTTCTTCATACCCACACTATGCAACTATGTTGCATGTTATTTTTAAATAAGGTTACACGTAAGAATCCCAGCACTCATATGTTCTATTTTGTTCTTCTTTTCAATTTCAGTCAATGGAAATTATAATGAAAGTAAAATGTTCACCTGCCCCGGGTGCAACAACGGCAGCCACAGCTGGACACTCATCATTAAAAATTGTCGATCGCCATCGACAATTGCAGCAGCACACGAACACCAGTCCGTATCCAAAAAGTAAAACACCATCACAAATCTCCACTTATATTCCATCACCCACCCACAAAAATACTAATAACACCACCGGTAGCAGTACAGAATGCCTTATGTCTACGCCATCACCACCCTGTACGGAGTGTACAGTGGGTTATTGTTGTAATTTGCAATCATGTTGCATGCCACCACCACCACCGTCATCAACATCACAACAAAATCTTTCAACACAACCGCCACCACTTTTGCCTGCCCCAGTCGAGAAACAAGCACAACAACAGCAGTTTGATACAGCCATCAATGTCAATGGGCATCTGCCGCAAGAGCCTCCGACCGCCATTGAAGATCAACCGGAATTTGTATCGATCGATGATGAAAAGATAAAACAATATCTCATGAACTTTGGTCAACAACGTCAGTTATATCCGGAGAATACAAGAAAAATTAGCCGCGTCATCAGTACATCTTCCATGGAGGCCAACAGTAGGCCAGTGGTATATGAAATCATTGAATTGGATGATGAAAATGAAAGGGAAAAACTAAAACAAATCAAACAACAAGCTGAGCAAAATTTGGCAGCAAAGCGACTGACAACAAATCCATCCATAAGTTTAAATTTTACCGCCCGACAAACAAATTCTCTGAATATAAGTTTAATACCCAAAATTCCCGAAAAGACACCGGCCACTAAACAGAAGTCAAGTGCTGAACACAAAATCATAGCTGAAATCAATTTAATTGATAGCAGTGACGATGATGATGATGATGGGGCAGCAGAGGCCGATGCATGTAATACCACTCCAATGGATCGATGTGGAGCGGACGACAATGATAATGGCGATGATGATAGAGATAATGAAGAAGATAATGAGTATTATGATGATGATGACGATGATACGCTACCATTAGCAGCGGTCAGTTGTGAATTGGAGTGTGACGACGACGATGATGAAGATGAGAATGGCGATGGCGATAATGTAAATCATCCAACTTCTTCAGCCAATTTCCAAGAATTTGGAAATTCTCGCACAAAAAATGCCAATGGCATTGCTGGTGGCTATTCAAATGATAATTTAATCGTACGCTGGGAAGAATACGAACGCCAGAGAGAACGTGTTTTCTTCGAGTGTTATCTTTGCCATAAGAAAGTCCAATCCAGTTATAATTTAAGACGTCACATGATGATTCATACAGGTAAGAGAGAAATATCTTCTGGGTATTTTTATTTGGGAGCAATTCAAACCGTACCGAAAAATTAGATAAACAAGGTTGAAGGGGAATATGAAGCATGAACTAGGGGTGTACCACATCCAAACAGTCTGGAAATTGTGGTTGAGTCAAGGACTAAGATGTCGATATTTATATTTTAGTTCGATCTTAACGATAGATAGACAACATTACAGGGGAGTATGAAACCTGAAATAGAGGTGCACACAATCTGAGGACGAAAAAAGACCAGGAACAGTTGTACATGTAGAATTTTCACATGAAATAGATTGAGAACAGTAGCTACCTTAAGGGACGGAACATGGTAGAAGAACACAGGTAGCCGCATCAACACAGCTGCTGGGACAATGAAATTACATATTCATATCCGAATTCTGGTTAAGAGAAATATTTATATATAGCAAGTTGTAGAGAATCGGCGACTTGTTTCCGTTGTTGCCAGAAGGGGTTTGCAGATATAGACCCTTTTCTCAACAAACCTTACGTTACAAAAATATTTGGATGTGTGAAATTTGAAAGGATTTTGATTTTTATCTCGCTTTTTGTGTGAAGAAATGGTTCGACCTCTACCATCTTTATAACAGATCTTGTGATAATGGAAATATTGAGATGACAAAGTCTGAATGGAATCTGATGTTAATTTCGCGTTTGTGGGGGAGGTACCAGAAGGAGTGAACCGATATATTCCAATTTCACACCAGATCTTGGGTTAATGAAAATATTGTGATGTGTGTAATTTGAAGAGAACCGGATGCTTTTTTTCGGATTTTATGATCGTTTTGCTTATTAAAAACAATTACCCTTTGCGGGGGGAGGTACCAGAAGGTTCGGACCATACCTTCTGGTACCTCCTTTAACATCTTTATAACAGATCTTATGTTGATGGAAATATTGAAATGTGCCAAGTCTGAAAGGAATCGGATGTCGATTTCGTGTTTTATGAGCTCCATAAATATTCAGAATTTTGACCCTTTGTGGGGGAGGTACCAGAAGGAGTGTATCGATATATCCCATCTTCACACCAGACTTTGGTTTAATAAACGTATTGTAATGTCTGTAATTTGAAGACAATCGGACACTTACATCGCATTTTGTAAAAGTTATAACTTTAAAAAATGTTGACCCTTTGTGGGGGAGGTACTTGATGGAGTGGACCGATATTGTCCATTTTCGCACCTGGCCTAGCACTGATGCAAATATTAGAATTCGCAAAGTTGGAGCATAATCGGATAATCCTTTCTGTTGCTATGCAGTAAATTATCTTCTTTTAAATTTTTGACATTTTGTGTGGGAGGTACCAGAAGGAGTGGACCGATATTGCCCATCTCCGAACTCGATCTAAGTTTGACAATAATTTCGACGATTCACGTTTTGGCCGGATCAAATGATATATACCATCTCTAGCCATATGGCTGAGGGTATAACAAACTTTTTAAATTTTGTGACATATCAAGCGTTCAGGTCGAAATACATTTCGAACCCATTTCGTGGAAGGGTACTTCTTTGGATATGAAATCTAGTTCCTCAAAAAAAAAACTGGATTTATTGAAAATTATGTATGAAAAGGTTGTATTGTTAGGATACTAAATATGCATTTTTTAATTTTTATTTAAATTCCTTGTCCACCAAATAAATAATTTAGAATACCAAAAACTTTTAGGATTCATAGGATCAAATTTCTAATTAACTGAATTTCCCTGTCTCTTTCCCAGGTGAACGTCCCTTTGCTTGTGATATGTGCGATCGCAGATTCCGAGAGTTCAGTGATTTGAAAAAACATCGTCGACGACATGCTGGTGAACCCAATTTCATATGCATGGTTTGTCGAGAATTGCCACCATTGGAAAATGATCCAATACGTTGTATCAATTGTTGTACCCAATCGAAAAATGCCGTCTTAATGGCGGCCATGAAAAACACGGAAGAAGATGAAAAAGCAAATAATCAACTTAAAATTGTGAAAACTGAGAAGTCAATGGTTGAAAATGAAAATGTGATTGTGCTGGCAGAGTCTCCACCACCACCAACACAGCAGCAGCAACAACAACAGTCCCACACACTCCCCACAAAAACTACAGCCACAATAACATCTGTGGCAATTATAAAACCAGTTGTGAAAACTTCTGCCACGAAAACTTTCGTCAATACTCCATGTTCGTCCTCGAATGCTTCGACAGCATCCGATGACACGAAACATCTATTAGACAACATGCCGGCGGTACATCGCCAAGACATATATGATATGGGTATGATTACGCGCAAGGAGTTCGCCTGTCCTTTGTGTAATCGGGCCTTTGGCACACGACACAACCTCAAACGACACTATATGATACACACCGGAGAGAAACCGTTCAGTTGTAGTAAATGTCGTAAACCTTTCCGAGAGTATTCTACACTGAAAAAACACATGGTTACCCATCAGCGTGATCGTTGGTACAAATGCATGAGTTGTCCAATGAAATTTCGTGATTTTATTAAATTCACCGAACACAAAGATTCACATCCTGATAATGATGGGGTAACAATAATCAATTATGGCAGGAAATATCAATCGAGTGAAAGTTATAGCATAGATTCAAATGATTACGACGATGATGATGATGGGGATGATTCTTCGAATGGTGGTGGTGCTGAGGGGGCTAATTGGCTGGAATGCTGTGAATGTGGCCAACATTTCAATGATATCGACACCTACAATGAACATCTAAAGAAACATCAAAACTTACAAATTAAACAGATCAGTGGTGGCGATGGAGAGGTGGTTGAATGTGATTAAGTGATAGGGTTTGAAGAAAAATATTCAAAATTGTAAAGTACAATATTTAAACTGAGATTGATCAAAATGGGAAAATTAGTATCTGAAAAATGTATCTAAACATTAAAAACACGATGAAAAGCATTCATATATAATATTTAGAAATTATAAGAGGGTATATATTTTTATAGCCTCTAACAAAATTGTATATAACGTATTTTTGAGACCCACAGAAAAAACGGAATCATCCTACAAGTCGCCGAAAAACGATAGGTGTTATAGATTTTCCTCCAACCGTCAAAACCATGTTAAATTATAAATGGTTACAGCCTTAATTATGGGTATTTATAGCTACACAAGTGAAAAATGAAATTAATGAAAAGAAATATTTAATGCAATGTGCAGGTGTTAAAAGGTTTCAAAAGGTTAATTCAAATACCTTTTCCATATTTATAAAATATTTTATTTATACAAAACTCCATGCTTGCCCTTGAATATAATTAAGTATAAGAAGTTACAGTAAAATACTAAAGTTTGTAAGATTTTCGCAACATTCCACAAAGTATTTTATTAATTTTTACACTACCTACATATTCTTTATTTATATATTTTTTTTTTATAAAAAAGCAAACATTTTTGAACAAGTTTCCTTATAGTGCAATTGAAAAGAAAGAAGATATTATTAGCATCTATTCAAATCATATATTTATAAAATGAAATAAAATGTATTTTTGATATTTTTAATTAAATCATGTGTTGCATTTTTTTTTTTTTTTTTCAAAAATAACATAACTCTCCTGCAATTGTATTGAATATTTGCTAAGGTACAATGTTTGGAAAACTTTGGACAATAATTTCGCTTCGTATATGATTTATGTTTTTTTGAACTTTTATTACAGGCCTGAATAAATCGACCAATATCTTCCATTTTTAAATTTTTTTATACCCTACCCCACATAGTGGTAAGGGTATTATGTCTTTGTGCATTTATTTGTAACATGAAGGGTGAAGCGAGATAGACCCATAGTTACTTTTGAGAATTTTCATAGAATCACTTCCTGAACCGATTTTTGCATGTCAGTCCGTCTGCCCATCCGTGCGTCTGTCCATGTATTCTTGTGAACAAAATGCAGGTCGCGTTTATTATCCGATTAAGAGGAAATTAGTATCTCCAAGGACGAATCTTATTGAAAGTGGTGATTTGTTTGTAGTAATTGTTTGTTCCAAGGACGAATCCTATTGAAATTGATGAGAATCGGTTCAAATTTAGATATAGCTCCCATATATATCTTCAACCGATTTCGTGTTAATTGTGCACCAAATGGCCAATATCAGTCCAAATGACCGAATTCACTCTAGAAACAAGTACATAACATTTGGAGAAAATCGGTTTAGATATAGCTATAGCTCCCATAAAAATGTTTCATGCGATTTGGTTCTTAAGTACCTCACATTCGTAATATGAATTCGACAACAATTATATTTGCTACCAGATATCTTATAGAGTTCGGAAATACCTTTGCCAAATTTTAATTAAGATCGGCCAAGATTTGGACATAGCTCCCATATATATCCATAATCCGATTTCAGGTTTATTGTGCAAATAATGGCTAATATCAGCCCATATGGATGGATTTTCAGGACTTACGTTTCCATTTGGTGGAACTCGACTCCGATCTATATTTCTTTACTATAATCCTTCTCGAATTGATATCATGCACTCTATAGCAATGTTATTTGGTATAAAAGATAAAGATATTTCCATTAAATTTAGAAATAATCGATTCAGAATTGAATATCATTTGAATGGGGTTTTTTAAGCTGGTTCTGGAGTTGTATCAAAATCATTAATTATTTTAGACCCAGATTTAAAAAAAATCGAAAAGGGCCCAATGTTGGGAGTCCACACAATGTATGCCAAAGTATGGCTCACAACCCAAAATTTTCAAAATTCTGTAATTTGTGCTAATATCTTTCCTGATCCAGAGATATGAGTTTTAAACCCGGGCAACCTGATTTGGACTTCGGCCAGGGCTTGAGGTTTACGATTTTTTTCTATATTTGCTACTCTTTTTAAGTAACCAGCCTTCTACACCGGGTTCTTGTTGTATTTTTATTAGCTTTATTGTCTATATGGGAGCCGGACTTTCGGATCAAATATCCGGGTATATGGGTCCGTCCCAAAGAAAAAAATATTTTTCCGGATCAGGATGCAAATACATACCTCTGGAAAAAGTTTTTACTAAACTAGACTTAAACCCAGCGATATAATTAAACACTTAAGCGTAAAGAGTCTAAAGGTATAACCGTTTCAGTTCGCATTGATATGCAATTGAATTCTGTTTTATTTGAATGTATATAACCCAAACTCGAAATATATCCTCCATATTTCCAAAAAAATGTTTAATTCCCATGAGTATATCACAAGATAAACCATTTCATCTCTCTTGTGGACATCTCTATTGGTCAAGGCCCACACGACGGAATGGACTAGGACACAATATTATAAAAGCGCATCACATTACTTGTGTTTCTAACACTCGTAGCCACTGTTGAGAGATTATTTAAGCAATGCTCGGGACTTTTTAGATGTCCTTTACCCATGCGCGGTCGCTCTCTTATTCACAAACTTGGCTTTGTTCAATAGAATTTCACAATATTTTCATAGTTTGTGATGTTTACTTCAGGTATGATGTGTTTTTGAGGCTTACAACAATTTAAATTTTTGGCTGCTCGAGGCTTTTGAATATTCTCCGAATTTTTAAATTTAAATTTCCTAATGAAATCTAAATGGGATCAATGAAGCTAACACACCACTTTTAGCGTTCTAATCTTCAGACTTAAAAATAAGCAAATTTGCCATGACCTTTGACTGATGATGCTCGATGAGCTGAGGACGTATGAACAATTTACATGGCTTTTTACTCGTGACAATTTTATCTCAGACCACTTCCATAATTTTAAGTACAACGATGTTCAAATGTTTAACAAGGTTTTTTTATATTCCCGCAAAGTTCAATATGAATACCTTCTCCTTAGCCCTATTCCAGATGATCACAAATTACCTTATCTAGGTTACACCGAGTTGTAGACTGGCTATTGACAGTGTTAAAATCAGCAAAATGTCTGTATTTAAATTGAATATGCCCCTTACTGGAGAATTAAATTAGCTTACCATATTTTACCGACTATAACCGCGCTCTAACTTCACTTTTTAATACAGATCACTCGCGAATACGAAAATACCGAAAACACTAAAATTCCAACGACAAGGCCGACGACGCCGAATTTGATCAAGACGCATTTTGCAAAAAATGACATGAACTCATTGTTATTTAACTTCAACACTTATGAATTGCTAAAATATATGTCTGTATATCACTCGCGAAAATACTTATAAACGAATTAATATAATTATTTGATAAAGAAATAAAACTTTTTTGCGAAAACGATCAGAAACGCACCGACAAAACGCGCAAACCGTTAACTATAAGCACAAGGGTGCTTCACACGACTGATTTTTAAGGGATGTTCACACCAAATGTAATTGGGTTATCACACATATAACATTTTTTAAGGCGATACTTCAAAGTGAATGCTCGGGTTCTCATTTCATTCCAAAAACGGTTTATTTGAATTTCAATTGGAATTTGAATAACAATTTGTATATTTGTTTTGACATTGAAAGGCTACTGTAAGAAAATATACAATCTAGTGATGTATACGGCCTATCTTGTAAATGATTGTACATCGGGTAGAATTGAGAAGGTTCCGTAAAGACATCCTGCTCTACATTTTCTACAATTTTGCTTGTCAAATTTAAAAACATAAAAAACTGGTCCTCATTTCTGAACTTTGTATATGCGATGAATTTTTAATATTTTCGAAAAAAGTTAAAGATATGATCTTAAAGTGGTTACCTTTCTTAACAGTCTACCATTTCTGAAATTAGCAGCATCGGGCATATGAGCTTGTACGAAGTGTTTTTTTATTGTTCACAAAAACAAGAAGAAAAAAGCGGCCCTGCTCCCAACATTCTCTTTCCTGCCTTAAATTCATGGTAGAACTAAGAAGGTAATGTATTGTAATCATATGTTAATAATTTTTTCAAATTTATACATTTGACAACATCTCATTGTCAAAATCTATATTCATAAATCTATTGTATACACACAAAATCAGAGATGGGAACTGTGTTTTATGCATTGAAATTTGACAACTGTTAATATTTTTGAAAAAAAAAATTAAACACATAATTTTAAGAGATTACCTTTCTATAATAAAAAAGTAAAGTAATCTTTATTTGAGTCTTCCTCTTTTCTTTGACGATGTTGACATTCAGTGTGAGTGATTAACATATAATTTTAGAACTATTCATGGTACAATGATATCAAGGTAGGGCTATGATACCAATGATTTTAATTTTTTTTTATTTTCTTGGCTTAATATGTCATCTTTATTTGTTTATGTATGTGTTTTCTTTTCAATAACAAAACAAGTAAGCAAAGGCTACAGTCGAGCGGGGCCGACCGTTGAATACCCTACAACACTATAATAAGTGATACAGTTTATATAGGCGAGATACTCGAAAGAATTCCACTAGATTTTGTGACAAATAATAAAAGAAAACCTTCAGGTTTCGTTCTCTAATTTTCGAATAATAGCAACTTAAATTAATTTGCTCATTTCCAATTTATTGGTAGATGTTGCACGTAAATGGTCTTCCTAGATCTGGAACCAATATTTCCCAAAGACCTATAATCTCTCAGAAGTGGCAAAAGATTAACATTTATTATTGGTTTTTGACTGAAACGCATCTATATGAGATACAGACCTTTGACTATATTCTTCAACGAAATCAGCGTTAACGAAATAGTCAGAAGTGCATCTCTCCTGTATTTGTGTATTCTCCAAAAAGTCACTGGAATGGACGTTTTCGTATTTTGTCTACAAAAGTTGTGAGTGAGGGTCGGGCGATAATTACGACCTGCTGACAATTTTGCAGTTTTTTGGTCCATTTCAACCCCTAAATATATGGCGATCATCTCCAAAAAGACTAGGCTTCTATTCTGACCCTCATCTTATCCCCATGCAAAATTTCGTAAGGATCGGGCCATAAATGCGATCTGTATATGATATCCTGATATCCTAACTACTTAGTTTTGTTAGCTGTAGAAATATTATCAAATGTTTAATTCAAAATGAAAAATGCCAAAAATATGACAAAATTGAAAAAATATGAGAAAATGTTTTTTCTTTCCTGCCAAGAGGCCATTCTGAATTAATGAGAACTGTCGAAATCAGTTCAGCCGTTCTCGACATATAAGAGTTCTTTCAAGCATATCTTCTTTGATAGACATATATATCTCACATATTTTGCTATATATCCGATTTGTTGGATGTTAACATCAATGTAAAGATCACAAGTAACCTTGTCATGGCTTTGTGATTTCGGCGGGATTTAAAATATTCGCGGTTTAATGAAAAAATTTTGAATTTTTTCAACACAAAAGATATGGTCTATTTTACCCGCTAAATATTATCCGATGACCACCCAAATTGGTAGGCTTCTTCCCTGCCCTAAACTCTAGCTACATGCGAAATTCCGCGTCGATTGGTCTATAATTGCGACCTGTATAGCTACTGCAAAATCCGACATTTTTTCAGTATTTGGTCCATTTCAACCCCTAAACATTTGGCGATCATCTCCAAAAGAAATAGGCTTCTATTCTGACCCAAACCCCACCTTCGTGCAAAATTTCGTAAGGATCGGGCCATAATTGCGACCTGTAGCGTGATTACAAATTAACATGGACAGACGGACAGACGGACAGATGGACGGACGGACATACATAGCTAGATCAACTCAGCTCGGCGAGCTAGGAAGATCCATATATACTTTCCTATATGGGAAACCAATATTTCGAGGTGTTACATAAATTCTGGCCCAATCAAACTTATAATACCCCCAACACATAGTGTTGTAGGGTATAAAAATTGTTCAGAAAATATTTAAATTCCGGTGTTTTCAAAATGTTTATTTCAAGGTATGCATTGACAAAATTTAAAGTTTTTGTAGCGATATAATCCTTTAGAGATATATAGAACATGGTTTTGAAAAGAAGTGTTGACCTTTCATTCAGTTATCGCGGTTTTCAATTATTTATTCAAAATAAATTCAACAAGTTGTTTGATTTTTTATTGTTTTGATACTAATTCTGACATTACAAGCCAAAAAGGTAGACCTCTATACTTGCAATTTTTTCAAAGTTGACCTACCTTCTCTTAATTGTACCATGGAACTATTATTGTCTTTTTGTAACTTAGAATGATACAATTAGAAAAAAAGAACTAATCTCGTCATCGGACGTATGAGCTATTACGAAGTATTTTTTATTATTCAGAAAAACAACAAAAAACAAACGACCCTGCTCCTGACATTTTCCTCCCCATCTTAAATGTTCGCATTCTCACGGGAGACGCATTCAGACGCCATACGCTTTGATTGTGAAAGATATAGGTTAAATTCAGTCGTTTACCAACACTGAACTTTTCACCGTTCTCCAACACACATATTTTATCTCTTCTTTTTCTGTTTCTATTCTAAACAAAAAAAAACACGTGTAAGCCGGAAAAAAACAATAAAAACAATCATTTTTGTTTCCAGCCAGACCAACAATCATTATTTTGCAAATTAATAAATGAATTTACATCAAATTCTTTTAAATAATTGAATAATTTTGAAATATTTTTAAACGATGGAAGAAACAAAAGGTTTCTATGATTTTTGTGTGCCCTACAACAAAGATGAGAAGCTATTGAGAGCAATTTGCAATGAATTGGTGGATTGTAAGTAAATGTAAATAAGAAAAAGTTATAAATTAAAATAAAATTTTATAATCTTTTTGCAGTGGGCTACAAAACAATTGCCATCGAACAGGTGTTCGATCACAGCAAAAAAGAGAATGTCAAGAGGGCGTCTGATATATTTCCGGAACCGATCAACCTCAAATGGCTGCAGGATGAATTCAAAAATAAATTGAAAATTCTACAAAGGCTGACAATTATTTATATGGATGTGGCAGTGGCTCATGCTATGGTAAGGGGGATGCAAGGGACAATAAATTTCATGTGAAATAGAAAAAGTGTATCCCAATCAAAATGCAACAGGAGTACTACCTCCGGGTGCTTATCATGGAAGATATCGTTCCAGCGGCTGGCTACCATGTTATTTTATGGATTTAAGTGAAATAGAAGAAATGTATTAACTTTGATTTCATCGAACAGACAGACTAGTGCAATAAGCAATTTATTTTCCCAAAACTTTTCTGGGATAGCTTTGCTAAAAGGAAGAAATTAACATTCCGCTGTCTATATCTTTATCAGTTTTTTATCAATGTTCCTGCTTTATACACGTTTACTTACTCCTACGCTACTATTCATTTAATTCAAAAGATTATCATTTTTCTATTTTCCAGGGCAATTCAATGAATTTGAAGAAATTTAATTTGGTTGCTGGACAACCCAAAACTGATGCCGCCTTAACAGTATGTGTTAAACTAATATTAGTAGTTTTTAAAAGCCATTAATTGATCCTATTTTCTTGCAGCATTGTTGCACAACCTTTAATGGTGACTTGGTGACATTTGATGCCCAGGCGGGGGCACGTTTATATGTTAATCGTAAAGCCTATCAAGTAGCCGTTAAACGAGGAATATTTTTCGAAATAAAATATTCACCACTGATTGTGGATACAAATTTTCGCAAGGATATTATAAAAATAGCCCACAACTATTTTGTGAGAGGAAAATCCAAGAGTATTATCATTAGCAGTGGAGCAACAAATCCCTTTGAACTAAGGGGACCCTATGATGTGGCAAATTTGTAAGTAAACAAAAAGGATTATTAAAAATTGGTTAAATTATTATTTTCCTCCTCTTTGTAGGTCATTCATCTTTGGTTTGTCTGAAGATCAAGGTAAATGTGCCATAGATCGTTTCTGTCGCCAATTGTTTTTGAGGGCAGGTAAGACTTGAGAACTTTTGTTACACATTGATGGCATTATATTACTAAAATTTTCCATTTTTTGTAGAATCCCGACGTATTGGTAAAACAATAATGTTTGTAAAATCCTCAGGGCCCATTGTATTCTCTGACTCATCATCTTCGGAACATGAAGAAGATGAGGGAATGCTAAATGCAGAAGAAAAAGAAGATCAGGAAGATGTCATTAAGTTTCCAAAAAGTTCCGATTCTGAACAAGAAAGTGTTGACAATGATGATGAACAACCAAATAAAAAGAAAAAACTTTCTTAGCAAACCTGAAACATCTGTTTTCATGAACGAGAAAGCTATATTTTAGGAACTTTTTATAGTTTTGAAAAAATTTTTGAAAAGTACTTCAAAAAATATATATTTAAAAAAAATAACATTTGTAGTTCAGAACAAGGTTCTCATAAGGTTGGCTAGGAAGACTACTTTTTTTACAACGATTTGACAATAAATCCTCTGTTCAGGAACATACAGTAATCTACTCAAGGTGTACATACGGTCGGCCATGATTTTTAAATTTTATTGAATGACTCCAACTCCAATATTGATTTGATAGTTCATTCTTCGACCAGATGTGCCGATTCGACTACCTGTATTCTTCTACCATGGAAACATTGATATGTCAACATTTCTTTAATGTATTTTTTAAATAAGTAGATCTTTTTAACAATTTTTACAAATTTGAATAATTTTTCAATCCACATTTTCATCTCCTGTATTCTTTCATCTACCTGTATTCTTCTACCATGAGTGTAAATAAGACTTAAAGTACGTTTAGATTAACGATTCAATATCATAGCATATCACTGGATTTATGGATATGATTTACGCTATGGAATTGACATTTGAAATCATGGTAGAAGAATATAGGTAGACGCATCGACACAGCTGCTGAGACAATGAACTGTCAAACCAATTTTGGAATTGAAAATGTTGAATGAAAATTATTTGAATTTATAAACATTGTTGAAAAAAACGAATTATAATAACCTCCGAAAGACGTCGTATAAGAAAACATATAAAAATCTATTTATATTTAAAAAAACATTTAAATTTTTTGACATATCAATGTTCCCAAGCGTTGATGCATCTACCTGTATTCTTCTGCCATGTTTGAAATCGAGTGCATTTTGTTGTCTAAATGTGCTTTTAACCCACAGTAAGAAGATTTATTGCTGCTTATTTTAAATCTGGTACAGCATTTACATACTAATACTGAAAAAATGGTTTTCATTTAAGCAATACAAAAAATCCAAGCGTAAACCCAATTGCTTTGTTAATACATCTCTTTCGAACGGAATCCAAGAACTTAAAACTGTATTAGCTCATCCAAATACATTGAAACATACATTATTTTCCTTGCAGAGGCTTATCAAAGCTAATGAATACTTATTTTAAACATTTTTTTTTCAAATAAATGAAAAATATGCATTTTATTTATCAGATTCTTCATCCTGTTTTTCTGTATTTTATTAGGATTTCTTATATTTTTTTAAATATTATTAAGAAGATCTTAGGTACAACTCTGTGTAAACACAATAACTGTAAACTGTTTCTAAATAAATTCGCTTTTAATATGCCATTTTGGTTCGAATAAATAAAAAATATAAATTTTATTTATTTACTTCTTTATCCTCTTTTTATGTATTTTATTAGGATTTCATAATATTGCTAAGGAGACCTTAAGCATACCTCCGTGTGAACACCATGAAGGTAAACCGTTTCTAAATCAACTCGCCCAAAAATACAACTCTGACACACAGCAACTTCCATCGTCGCTCTCAATATGCCGTGCAACGCCGTTACTCCACACGCCTCGCCCTCGATCTGTGTATACAACCCTGTTTTGGCTTTTAAAATGGAGGTCTTTGATGTTGTGCGTACATTAATCTTTAAGTGATGAGTACAAAAAAATTGCAAAAACGTAACTAAAAGTAAAAATTGCTGTAAAATTATTGAAAAATTCTCAAGTATTGAACAAAAGCAATAGAATGATGTTGAAATGAAGTGAATTGTTGGAAAATTTGTGAAGGAAAATGCCTTTGAAAGTTTGGGAAAATACATGAAGGAAAAAATTTTAAGAAGAAATTGATGAAGAAAAAAAAAAAGATTATTAGCACCAGCGGCGGCAGTGGCAGCAACAACAATACAAAAAAAAACGGACAATAACGACGTCGTCTCTAAGTGTATTAACGAATGCCGCATCGCATACGACAATTATATTTGCCCACGAATAAAACGCGACGACGACGATATGGCTCTTATATGTGTATACAGTGATTCGATGATTTTTTGTGTTGTTTAATTGGGCTTGAGCAAATGATGATGGAAAAGAAATTAAAAAAGATATAATTACACGAAGCGGTTGGTGTGTGCTTTTTTTTGCAATAATATACATACTTGAAATCAGTACCAAAGGAAAAAAGAAGATGAAAAAGAATTGTAATGTTTGGAAAATAATTTTTTTTGGTGGAAAAAAGAAAAAAATGTTGCAAAGTATTGTTCAAACATGTGTGAAACCTAGAAACGAAAAAGAATTGAGCGAAAAAAGGAAATGTCAAAATCTAAAATTGAAGTCGCCGTCGCCGCATGTGTTTTTGTTTTACAAAGAAAAGAAAATGAAGTGTTTTGCCATACTGCCACCGGAGAAAAATAATTTCAAATGCGGAAGAGAATTGTGGGGTTGGCTTGCAAGTAAAATAAAATAGATTTTGCAAAAAAAGAAATAAATAGCAGATATCGATAAATTTTTTGCATAATTGATTGAATAGTTAGTTCTGTATGTTTGCTGTGTCTGTCTTCTCTGCATATTTGTGAGTAGCGTGTGATGATAAAAGTGTGCGTGAGTGCGAACAACGTTAAATGTGTTTGTGTGTGTGTGCGAGTGTGGCTGCTTTGTCGGTTGCTCGTTTATGTGCAGTTGTTGGTGCTGTGCTGTTTTAGATGTGTATAGAGAAAATTAAAAATTTAGTTGTTTTTTTCTGTTTCAAGTGTCTTTTTTGTGACGCCGCGATTTTTTCTTCTTTTCGTGCATATACAAAAAATGTAATTGACGTTGCTGGTTGTCATTCTCGTGGTTCTTTTGCCCTGTTTGTCTGCCTATCTTAACACTGGACAATCTTTATGATGGTATATTGTTAAACATTTGATGGCTATTCCCATTTCATGTTGTGTTTATTTTCCTTTCAAACCATTATCATTTCATTTTGTTTCGCTTTTATTTCCTAAAAGTTTCAAGAAATTTGGTATTTTTCTTTTGTACCAAGAAATGTCAATGTGATGTGTGGTTGATTGTGTTTCTTTTTCGCTCTCGCCTTATTTTATTATAATTGCAGTGCTGCAAATTTTCGTACTGTAGTTATGTACACCAAAACAACATTTCTTCTTGATGGTTGCTGCTCTTGTTGTTTTTGTTGTTGTTGGTCATCACCATCCATGGTGTGGCAGCATTGCAATGTATCGGTTGCGGGTTGCTCGTATTTATATCTTCCTACCTACCTACCTACTTTACATCCCACCTTCTTGGTGCATTGATTACATATTTTATTTGAACATGATGAGATGTGCTTCTTCTTAGTCTTCTTTCCATTCGGTGGGTTTGAAGTTTATATTTGTGCTGTACACCTGTACCTTGGTTGGTTGTCACTGTGATGTGTTGGGTGACGACGATCAAGCAACTTCAGAGAGGGAGAGTATGTATGAGAGTGTCGGTGTTTGTGGTTCATTTGCGAGAGGGACGGGGAACGTACGTAACACCATTTACTATACCGGCTTATTTTTTGTTCTTGTATGTATGTATGTACATACATACACATGTGAAGACATGACCAGCTCAACTCGAGGAATATTTTTGGAGTCATTAACTGGAAAAAAAAGCAAGTTAAATAAAAATTTAAAAGAGTTTGACGATGGATAAATTCTAAACCAAATTCCTTCTTTTAAGAAAATTCGATATTTATTAGACCTATGTCCAAAAGAATTGACAATCTTTTTGAAATCGCAGTCGTTGTAAATAACGTGGTAATTAAATCTCTTTAATGTTCAATTAGTAGTTTACTCTTTATAGCTATGTGAAATACAGTTATTTTATAATAACTACTCGCCACTGATCATTTTCTAAAGCTCACGGTGTCACTTATTCCAGTTTTTATTTTAACATCCGTCATGTCTGCGATGTGTGTGCGTGCGTGTGTTTGTTGCAAAAAAACAGGTACAGATATTTTTTGTGTTGTGCTAAAAAAAGAACAAGAGAAAACAAAAACCAAGTGTCCCATAAACACATTCACCGTGAAAAATAATCGAAAAACTTGAGCGATTTTTATTGTGAAATGAAATATACTCGGAACTACCAAAAACCATAGACCTACGTAGGAATACGATTTTGAATAGAAAATAGGTCAATGTTGTAATGGATGAAAATGAATAGGTTCTTAAGCCTTATCGATCTACTGCAGTCTTCTTAAAAATTACAAGTCCAAAAATATATATTTTTTAAAAACAATAGAGCAATATTATTCATATTCTCTACCACCAACAACAGAGCTATTTTACATAAATGTTTCCACTGTCTCGTGAAAGAAATGTCTTATTTTCCGCTATATTCATTCATTTTGCTCTCTTTTATGTAAAAATTAAATGATTTGCTTCCAAATTCTAAACCATTCCTTTTATTTATATACTGTTGTCATTTATTAATTTTATAATGACCATCAGTGGATTCGTCTCTTTTCAAATCTATAGATACCTGCTTTCATTTTGTCCGTTCCAAATCTCATAAAAACACGTTCCATGAATTTCCTCGTAAATATTAATTTTTATCATATTTTTTTCATCAAATAATCAAATCTATTGTACAAATAGTGCATTGAGGTTTCACACATATTACCGTTTCATTCATTCACTCTTCTCATAACAATACTTTCTCTGTAATTTTTCTTAGTTATTTAATTCAGGTAGTAATGGGAAGATTATAGCATTTTCAAAAAAGCGGACTGCCTATTTAATTTCCGTATTATTACTGCATTTGTAATTGATCCGTTTGCTCATTGTTTTGTGTCGTAAATTTTCGTTTTGACATCTCAGAGAATTTTTGTCCCCTTCTCCTCTCACATAAATACTTTCACCTGTTCGGCACCGGAAATACATTTATAATCTCCTTCACTATAGTACTCTCATACAAAGATGGCACATCTTGCCAAATGTAAACAATGTCATGTTTCCCTAATCAATAATCGAAACTCCTTTTACATTTCTTTTCGTAATTCTCCCAATACCGTATTTCATCAACTACTCTCAGAGATAATTTCCTTTATTTACAATTGTACTTGCGGGTTTTCTCAATAATCTAAATTCCTTTTACACTTCACTTTATAATTATCGATGAGTACCTCTACTCTCCGAGAAAAATATAATTTCCTAACTTAATTTATTAATTATCGATAAGTACCTCTACTCTCAGAGAATTAGATCATTTCCCTTATTTACAATTGTACTGTGGTAATTCTTAGAGTTTGTTTATGTTGATACAGCAACCCTACTGATGTTTTAGAGTAAAACTCAGGTTACGGATCGTAAACATTACAGTAGTGAGTGGCATCACAGTTAATTGGTGAGAAATGGTGCTAAAAACTGAAGTTGTTTAAAACATGACATTTTAAAAAATTACATTTCAAATAAAAAATGTATTTTGTTTCTTTATTTGGAACTCCAACGTTATCAATAAAAGTGGAGCTTGACTCTAGATGTTTATTTTGGAAAAAAAAATCCATAATCTTGACAAAAATTAATGGAAGACATTATTAATATAACAATGTAAATATCGTTAAAATCAAGCTGTCTATGGTTATCATTGGCTTTTAGCCCCCTTATAACGGTACCTCCCAATATTCGGTATTGTGATGATTTTAGCTTCATTTTTCGATAGAATGATCTCAAACATGACATTTCGACTAATTGGCTATAGAGGTTCGCGTTTTCGTATGGTCCCATATAACTATAACACCTAAAATTTTAATTTTCCTGGAATTGCTGATATCAATGCAGGGCTATGATACCATATGTTTTTAATTTTTTTCCATTCTCTTGTTGAGAAAATATTCAAATTCAGGTGTCTTCAAAGTGCTTATGGCAAGGTATTCATGGTCAAAATTTAAAGTTTTTGTAGCGAAATAAATCTTTTGAGCTATGTAGAACATGATTCTAAAAACAGATTTTGACATTTCATTCAGTTTTCTGATTTTTTTAATCATTTATTCAAAATCAATGCAACAAGTTATTTGGTTTTTTTGATTGTTTTAATAGTAATTTTGACATTACAAACCAGACAGGTAGACCTCTATACTTGCAATTTTCCATCCACGTCGATCCACGTCTTTGGATAGCCTCCTATATTCGGTATTTTGAACATTTTAGTAACATCTTTCAAATCATCTGTCTTTTCCGGCAGATAATTAGCTATATTTGGTATTTTGGTGATATTTTAGCCACACTTTTCCCTGAAATTATTTGAAATTTGGAAATTTATATTTATTTGTTCATTTTGTTAATGAAATTCGGATAGAAACACCCTTTTTGAGTTAATAATGAACTTGTACACTACTAACCTTCAATTCAGATTTCAAATTGATATGTGGCCAGGCCGCTTAACATTTTAATTTATAATGAGAACATAGGTAGCTTTCCGTTGAGAAAAAAAAAAAAAAACAGAACAAAGATTTTGTACATTTTTAATATTTAAAAGCCTTTACATTGTGATAGGTTTTCCTGTATTTTTATTCATTCAAGTACTTTGTAAGTGAAAAGCAAATGAAATATATATTTTTTTTAATTGTTAATGTATTTCAACAATACTTGTCTTTAAATTGATATGTTACCATGCCACTCTATTTAGTTAAAACTAACATATGATGAGAACAATGCGTGGCGAGAATATAAA